GAGCACTTGGCTGCTTTTGAAGACCTTTATAAGGATTTTGGTGTTTATGGATGTAGTTTATCAAGTGTAGCTTATTTAGCACATGCAGTATTTTCAGTGGCTGATCAACACTGGGATGAGATAGTCCCAAAATTAGTATTGCTGAATTAGTACTTGGTCACCTGTGTATAAAAGCTTTTACAAAGAACAGAGGAAGATAGCAGAAAAACAAAACTGAGTATTACCAAATGTAATCAAATGCTTGTTATTAATGAACATTTTAAAAAATGAAGACTTGTAAACAGTTATGTATTTGAAACAGAAACAGAGGCAGTAAAAGCTAAATGTTTTCTCCCCTGCTTTCCCTCCATCCACCTCTTTTCTTCAGGAATATTTTTTTCCTCTGAAGCTCTATTAGCTATACATATTTCTAAGACATCCAAGAAGAGTGTGATTCTGTGATTAATGTTTCTAGGACCAGAAGGACAGCCAGCACACACACACACAAAATAAGAAAATTCTTAACTTTTTTGTACTGATGTGATAGTTCTGTAATGTTTGATCTGTATATGCACTAAAAGTAAATGTAGAATGTCACCCTGAAAGTATCTTGCTGTCAATGGATCATGAATGTCAGCCTTGACAGGTATCCTCTGGTGACATTATAAAGCATATGTGGCTTATTTTAAGGAAAGCTGTCCATACCTTTGTCTTGCCTTGTTGAAATATTTCTACTTTCTCCCTAGTGGCTGTCACTTCATTTTTGTCATCCTTAAGCTGAGAAGTAACTTGTAAAATCTTGTTGCCTGGTTTTAATAATTTTTACCCTTGCAAACTTCTAAAAGCCATTACATCTGCCTCAAAAGATATATTATATTTTTAGTGATATCTGCAGAAGAAATAACTCCTCTTTTTTTTTGTATTCTTGTTCATAAATTCCAATTATTGCAAACTTTGCACATCAGGTGTTGTGTATCTTCTCTACTTTTAAGCCCAAATCTCTCAAAGATTTGGCTTATTCTATGACTGCACATGGCTTATTGTATGACTTTCTATGGACCTTCTCAATTGCCAAGTTTAAATGTGTGCTTCAGTTCTTGCAGGGTCCAAGTCTAGCTCTTTTTTTAAAAGCATGCTGGTAGAGATGCTTGCCAGCACTTGAGGATCCCTGAAAGAGAAACAGGTGGTATTTTTGCCTGCTTCTGTTTGCCAGCTTCCAGACTGTCGTATAAAACAAGCAGCTAACGTGCTGTTGACGGTGTGTCAAGGGGAAAAAAAATTCAGATAAATAAATAGAATCTTAAGAATCAGGTAACTGGATTCCATTGATGTTTTGCCATTTAAGAAGTAAATAATTCCAGTAAAGCTTTCATTGTCGTTTAATCATAATCATGCATGCATTCTGCTACATCTTGCCAAAAGGAAAATGTCCATGTTAGGTGTAATTTGCATTTGCCTGGATTTTTTTAATGGGTTTCTCTCTAATTATGTGAGTATGCTAATATATCAACAATTAGGAGACAAATGCCCATGAAGTGCAGGCATATTAAAGTTAAAAGATGAAGCAATCCAGAGAAAACAAGTTTACCACACTATGTTGGCATCCATTTTTAACAGGAAAAGTCACATATGATGTAATAAAGAATTAGAACATTTTTCATTATGCAAATCCTATATTTGACAGAGAGGCATCAGCAAAAAGGGCACCAAAACAAAGTCTCTGATAAGTCTCTGAAATCTCTCTCTCCTTGGAATGTAGGTCAGAACATACGAGGACCTGAATAAATAAATATGGGGAAAGAGGATTTGGAAATACAAAAGTATATAAAAATAGAATATGACCCACCCTTAAAGGAAAGGAAATAATTTTATGTGTTTGTTATTAATTACTTCCTATTTAGAGGAAAGAAGAGCAGCCATAGAGGGTCAAGTATATAGCTTGACATACTTGAGAAGTGAGTGACTTCCAGGCCATGATGTAAACATAAAGTTTGAAGTCTGTCTGTTGCCTCAGTCCTTCCATCAGCGGGGTCAAAATCAGGAGAGGTTTTGTTGTTGACCATTGCAGAGATTCTCTCCTAAGCAGAAAGAGTGACTATTTTTCTGTGGTAAATAGTGCTTGCATGACAGCTAGGATTTGACTGACTCTTGTGTTGTAAAATGATTCACAATTTATTAAAACAACCTAATGAACATACCTTGAATTCCTGAAGCTGAGTGTACATTTTTATTTTAGCACTAATGAGCTTTGATAAATTAATTTTAGTGATGAGAGTTTAATACCGAGCCTTCATGCAAGGAAAACAAAAATTATTTATTAGCTCAGCTGTGGTGAAGAGGTGTAAGGTACTGAGAGCCCCTTAGGAATTTGCAAGGTGCTTGGCTCTGTGCTGCCTTGCCAAACTCAGCACAGAGCATAGGCAGGGTCACAGGGGTGATGGAGAGCACATGTAAAATACACCTAAGGCCTGTGAAGTCTTCCCTTACTCATCCTTTTAAGGGCAGCAGACAGAGAGGTGCCAGCTCTAAAGGTGGTACTGTTGTTGGAACAGCCCTGAGGCTTCAGCTGAGGTTTGTAAAGAAGGATCATGGAGCCCTTCTCAAATGTTAATTTAGTTTCACACTAACAAGGTAGAAGGCTACTAGTAGTACTCATCATACTGAGGACTGATTGTAGACAGAAGCCATATGATTAGCTGATGGACATGAGTACATGAGTGGTGAGGGCTGGAGTAGCTCTCCCTGTTGTACTGTAGTGTATTTATCCTGCTCAGAAATAGGCCACGTGCTTTATTGACTGCAGTAATAGGCAGATCTGTATCACTTAGCAATCTCTGAACGAATCTCTGCTGCCCACGGGAGCTGAAGTTCCTGCTTGAACATTAACTCATGATTTGTGTGTGAAAATACCCCAAACAAAAGCAAATGGTGGTTCAGCACTTTAGGAAGAGAGACAGATGGAGAGCACAGTGCAGTGTGGTACATTGCAGAGGTCACAGTGGGATAAAAACAATTTCAAACATACATTTCCTGATACTGGATTGTGGCTTAATTTTCCACACTTTAATGGGGTTTTTTAAGACAAAATGGTTCATGTGTTTGGATCTGTTTTTTGCAAGTCAGGATGGATGAAAATTTAGGTAAAATGGTGCATGGTTATGTGCTGTATAAAACTCCCTGTAACCTACAGAAGTTGGTTACAGAAAGTGAACAGAGGAGTGCATGATACAAAATCAAAGTTTAAATGTTTTTCTAGGCAGATGTGGATACCGAAGTATGTCACTTAATGGGACAAAGTTACTACAAAGTTACAGCATTTCCTTCATGAGCAGGGGGGCAGATATGCTGACAAGTGGGGAAGATCTAACAAACTTCAATATACGTCCAGGAAAATGCTATTTTAAAATGTAGGTTAAAATTTGTGAACTTCCTTCCTTCAGGCTTCAGTTGTTCCTCCAGTAAGCACATCTGCTTACTTCAGACACAGTAAAGCGGTGTCTGAAGGTCCTTCAGCTTTCTGCACTCCTGAAGTCTGCAGGGGAAGCACCTGCTTATGCATGTTTCTGGCGCTAGCAAGGACACATTGCCAAAATGCTGGTGAAGTTAACCAACATGAAGAGTTGGAAGAGATAATGTGGAAGAGATCATCTAAAACCAGAACTAGTTCTCACTAAATGTAGGAATGTGGCTGGAGTGGTGCAAAATGGTTCTTGGGGGGCATTTGCCCCAGTGGTGGCACAGTGGCTCGGGCAGCTGGTCTGAGTGCAAGTGTGGCAGCTTTCTTATGTGGCCCTGCAGGCTGAAACATTGCCTGTTGTACCAGGCATCTTACAGAAAGCAGCATCCTAAAATGCACTGTGGCCTTGCAATTAGAAGGTTTGATTCTTTCTGTGCCCTTTTCCTGAGGGTCAGCAACACAGCCTCTTCTGGCTTTGCCTATGGGACCAGGGCTTATGCTGGTACTTTATCCTGCTGGTGAGAAACTCATGTAAGACTACATCAAATTTATTGGCTTTATTAGATAAGATGTATCTGGCTAACCACTCTTAAGTTTGTTTTGATGTTTGTGTTATTTTCTTGGAAAGCTAGCCATGCTCCTGTCAGGATTGCCACTAATACTGCACTATGATAACAGAAGGCTACAAGGGCCCAGGCTCTGTGCTAGCAGCACTTGCTGTGTGCTTCAGTACTTTGATGTAATGTGCTGGTTTTATTTGTTTATATATATTAATTTGTCCCTTAGTTGGGTAGCACATCTCTTAAGTCAACCCTTAAACTGATACTTTGGATGCATTAAGCATGTATTTTTTTAAGAGGTAGTTCTGAGGTATTTTTTAGATACGGACATACACTCAACTAAATATGATTTGTCTTCTGCATGCACTTGGCTCAGCACATGGTTTTTGTTTCCTGTGCAGTACTTTGAAAATGTCAGCATAACTATCTCTGGTTGTTTGCTTCAAATCTGTTTATTAAAATTCACTTATCTTAGGGACTCAGATTTCCCCATTGCACCTTTTAATGGCACTGGACAAATCCTAGCTCATAATATCATGGGGCTCTGTATCAATACTGGTGTATACAAGTGCATTAACACATGAGTGTTTGGTGATATGTTCCACTGTGAGAAAGATGGATATCCTGACGTTGACATTTGTAGTGGCAAAATATGAAAAGCTGCAGTGGATATATGTGTGAGAGAGCTGTGGAGTCACTCACTTGGCTAGTGAAGGACTGCTCTGCCATCCTTCGGACAGGGGCACTGAGAGCTGGCTTAGCTGGCATCCTTACTTCATGCTCTTAAATTTTGTATTGATAGTTACTCTGGGCATTACGTGGAAGTGTTAAGAATGGATAAAGTACATCCATGCTTATGTCGGTAATTGGAATAAATCTCTATCCGATATCTTGCCAGGAAATTCTGAGAGTCTTGCATTGGTGCCTCATATATTTGCCACTGGTTTGATGGTCATTTATGCCTAAGGGTTTGTTGTGAATTTATCAATATTTTTGCATGACAGGTCACAGTAATGAAAGGCAGTAGTAGGAATAAGGATCACTCAACAGAAGGTGAAGGAACTGGGAAGAGACCAAAAAGGAAGTGTCTTCAGTGGCATCCCCTGCTGGCCAAGAAACTCCTTGACTTCTCTGAAGAGGAAGAAGAGGAAGAAGAAGAGGAAGATATTGATAAGGTAGATTTAATTGGATGCTTTGACCCAAGATGGTTAATGATAGATCAGATTCTCCCTAGCTGTGTTCTATATTTTGTGTTGTCTTGTTCTCTTCTGTAAAGAAACAGCCAATAAAAAGGGATGCAATTCCATGCCCATAAGGTTGTAAAGACAAGAAAGTGAGTTGTTAATCATGCCTTTAAAATAGTTGACAAATTTTTGTAGATTGGAATAGTTTTATCTGCTTTGTATTAATAATGTGTTGCACATCCTAATCTTGATTGCTCTAAGTGGGTTTTTGATGTTCTTTTTTTTTTTTTAATTGCTTATTTTACACATGACTTTGGCTTGTGCCTGATATCTGCTTCTAGTGACTCTAAAGAGCATACCAAACTAAAAGTTTTCATTCTTCTTTGTTTAAGATTAAAACTGCAAAGATTAAAAAGGGAAAAAGAAGGAAAAGGCTGAATACAATTTTTGCTATCTTTGCATGTGAAATTCAATGTATCCTCCAGAGTACTGAGTGTACAGCAGAAGTAATCTGTCTCTGGTTTGACACTTGGTGTTTTGGTATTGTTCAGTGACACTGACTTACCCTTTTTTAATGCCATGTGGCACCTCACACTTTTCCAGTTAGACTCATTCTCTGTAACCAGAAGTGGGAACTGTTTCTGCAGATGTGATGATTCCATCATGTGGATGGCATTCATATCTGTTTCTCCTTGGTGCCTTCCTAAGGCAGGAATGGAAAGGTCAGTGTTGAGAAGACTGCCTTGAGCCATACACTGAGAGGGTGACCCTGACAAGGATAAGCAAGAGCCTGATTCTGTGATGGTGCTTTCTGTTGATCTTACCAGTCCTTTCACAATATGGTATAAAATAGCAGCATCACAGTTAGGTAGGAGGTGGTTTTTTGTCACATGCAGTAAGTTCTGTGGCTCCTCTCTTGTAGGAATACTAAGCCAGCCTGTAAGTGGAGAAAGCACATTTTGGCAGCGTACTCTGTTGAGATGTGCCCTCTGCCTCTGCTGGGCAGCTTTGTGGTGGCTGCGCTGCTGTGCTGCTCACAGGTTGAGCAGTAAGCAGCAGGAGATGGAGAAAAGCAATGGACAAATGAACAAACTGTTAAGCTGTTCCTCCTTGTGTGCTCTGTAGTTGTGAACATGAATAATCAAGGTCCAAGGTAGCTCTGGTTGCCTCATCCCCCTTAGATGATTTCTAGGTTGTTAGAAGAGGAGAGTAGGAAGGATCTTGTCCCTCCAATCCCTTTAGGACTGTTAGTAGAGAATGATCTTCAGCTTAGAAATTTTTCCACCTGGAAGTTGGCATTAAGTCTTGCAGAGAGCATGAATGAACCTGGGACCATCAGGTGAGGAGGTTTGGTGTAGAACTCTGCACTGTCTGGATGCAGCAGATGGCCTCTGGAGACAGCTGTGTGCATCCATGTGCCTCTCCCTCGCTCCCATGCAGCACACACAGTCCCAGTCTTTGTGCAAAACGCGGATAACTGAGCTCACACCGCTTCCCTTTCGGTTCTGCCAGGTGCCGCTCCTTGGCCCTGATGGTTTAGAGCAGGATGCTGATGAGACTGAAGATGACGAGTCCTCAGAGCAGCGAGCTCGCCGACCAATGAATGCGTTTCTCTTGTTCTGCAAACGGCACCGCTCTCTTGTGCGGAAAGAGCACCCTCGCCTCGATAATCGTGGCGCAACCAAGATCTTGGCAGATTGGTGGTCTGTTCTAGATCCAAAAGAAAAACAGAAATACACTGACATGGCCAAGGAGGTATGTTCTGTCTGAATGGTGGATGTAAAGGGAGTTCATTACGTATTGTCTTCTTTTTCTCTGTGTATTGAATGTTTTCTGTGGGATCTTTCTCTTCCCTCTGTTCCTCAGCTTCACCATGGGATTGTGGTGCCCAGAGCAGCTCCTGTTCTTGCTTTAATTTACTTGATCCTTTGGACCAGAAGGGAAAGCAATTGGTCTGTGTACACAAACTAACCTGGTTCCAGTAGTCATTGTTATAATTATATGCACTTTGTGATTGTATGGCCTGATAATTTCTGCAGTACAAGCATTAACACAAGGATAGTGAGCATTGTAAGAACTAACATACAGTTCTGTGTCAGCTGACTAGTGAAACTTAACTGTGCATTCTCTATTGGTGATGCCAGCTACTTGTGGACCAAACCAATGGCAGAGTCAAGAAATGTAGCCCCTTTTTACCTTTAATGCTAATGAATTAAAAAAATACTAGTGTTTCTTGAAGTACATTCCCCATTAACCAGTTTCTGATGAAGCAAGATTTGGTGAGCCCAATACCAAGTCACAGAGCAGTGCCTAATCAGAGTATGTTAACCAGGAGCAAGGAAAGGAGATTTATCCCTGTATTTCACAAAGTATCTTTATGTCAACTTAAAATTCACATGAACCTTTTTAAGAAATAGCTTTCTTGATAAGCTGTTGCCAAGAAGGTTGTGCTTATTGATAGTAGAGTGAGAAAAACACAGCCAAATGCTTAGGCTGATAACCTGACCCCAAAACAGATCCCTGTGACTACCTGTATGATACAGATTGTGGGTAACCTTTGAATTCAATCTTAATAAAAATAAAGGAACAGCAGTGAGAAGGAAAAAAAATATCTCTCCTTTTTTTGAGTATTTTTTTGCTAACACACTGTGGAAACTATAGATGGCTGTGAAATGATTGATATTACCCATGCCTGCCCTGGAATCTGAAGGTGTCTGCTACTGTTAACAGGCTGTAAGGTCTGATTGTTCAGTAACTCGTGTAAACATGGAAGGGTCCACAAGAAAAACAAAGTGTTTAGCATGGCAGGTCCTTTTTAAGCAGGGTCTATAGGACCTCTGTAGTTTCTCATCTGGGGCACAGTATAGAAACATTCGAGTCTCAGCTTTGTCCAACCACTCGAGTTTCATTCTGCATTCCCTGCTTACGAATTAGCGATATTTCTCTAAATGTCTGGAGAAAGGGCTATTAGAAGATTCAGTACAAATGCAGAGAAAGGAAAGATGAGAATAAAGAAATAAGTTTTGGAAGAAACAAACCCAATGCGACTGTTTTTCTTAGCCTTTTGTCTTGCTGAAGGAAACTTGTTCATTAAGAAGGAAAATAATTGCAGAACTTCTGTATGAAGTGACAGATCTGAAACCATTAATCATATTGTTATAGAAATCATTGTTCTTGTAGTGATTTTTTTTTGGCATGAAGAACAAATTGAATATTCAACATCAAAGCAGAACAATAAATCTAAGTAGTTTACATCATTGTAAGTAGTACTAAGACTACGAACTAGAAGAGAGATAGCATATAATTTTTATTCTTTAAACAGTGTATGTTACAGCAATAATGAGCAGCTATAATGTGCTGTTGAATCCATTTGGGCCTTCTTCACCAACAAGCCTATTCTGTGTGCCAGGATTGGTACTTTTATTCTAACACTTGCTTTTCACAGAACCACAGAATGGTTGGGGTTGGAAGGGGGGCCTCTGGAGGTCATCTTGTCCAAACCGCTGCTCAAGCAGGTTCACATAGAGCAGGTTGAACAGGTTCACCTATATGTAGGCTTACTGCTGAGACTGTTAAAAAGAGGTGAATGCCAGCTGTAGTGAGAACCACTTGTTGGTCCTCTGCTTTTTCCTAAAGAGAATTTATTTAAAAATCAAGGTGAGTGTCTTTGAAAGAAAATAAAAATACCATTGTACCAATGGTCTTCTGTTTGAGTACCTATATAAGCTCAATGAGATTTAAGATACAGTGAGTAATCTGTTGCTTAAATGTAGCTTTTCAGTGTCCTTTGACTTTCACTGCACAGCCTGTAGCCACTGTCCTGGCTGGACACACATCTTCCAGAGAACCCTCTGTCATATCTGCTATCCCTACAATGTTTCTTGTATACTCTGAGCATCCAAACCACTCCTGCAGAGACACATGTGGGCCTTACAGAAGTGGTCCTTCCTGCAGTGGCTACAGTCCCTGCTCTTCTACACTCTCTAGAATGTTTTATTTTACTACTTGTTGCTATAGCTCCCAAAATCATTTAGGTTAGATCTCGTGCCATTGCAAGAAGCTTTCAGTTTCTTGCCTGCTTAAGACTAGCAGTGATATTACCTGAGCAGTATGCATGTAAAGGCACTTGTATATTTACTTATATGTGTGTAGCTGTATGCAAGATGTATCATTTTGGGAGATAGTGAGGCACCCAAACTTTTTGCTGGCTGAAATTATGAGAAGTTTCCTAGTAGGTAAGGTACCTTGGGGTACCTTAATCATCAGAAAAAACTGGCCCCACACTCTCTCTCTTTTCCATCTTGTGGTTTCTGGTCTCTTGTAGCAACAACTGCCCTGGAGACCTGGTGCTGCACCTGCAGAGCTTGATGTCTGCTTTTGCTGGTGTTACTTTATTAGTAGGCTTTCTATTTCTATCCTGCAGGCTTCCTAGATGAGCTTAAGTTTGAAAGTTTCACTGTCTAGGATATAATCCCAGTAGTTGATACATACTCAAAAAGGAACTAGAAGTGTTGCTGTATGTTTTAGCATTTTCCTTCACTGAGAGAAATTAACCTGACCACTCATAAATATGCACCAGCATTTTTATTCACTTCGGTAATAAGGGTAGTGTTCTTCTGTTAACTCTTACAGGACTTCCTGGGAGTGTTCAGCTGCCTTAGGAAGTATCTGGTGAGAATGTTACTGTTCAAGCCCTATTCCCTTGCTAGAAGACACTTCAGTTTTAAATATGTCTTTGCACCAGCAAGATCCAGGCAGTCAGGATTGTTTCCTGTAGGGAGCAGCCTGATAAATGTGATTAGACATTGGAGTGGACTGTCCCAGAAGTTGGTGGAGTCACCAACCCTGAAGGTGGTTAAGGAAAGACTGGACATGGCTCTGGGTGTTACGGTGTAGCTGGCATTGTGTGTTGGTCCATAGGCTGAACTCCGTGATCTCAGAGGTCTTTCCCAACCTTGCTGACTGTGATCCTGCTGCCATTCAGTGGCTGAGCTGAGCACTTCTCCCTGCTGCTCCTCGGCCAGTGGTGTCTCAGGCCCAGTCAGCCACACTGGGAGCTTGCTGGCCTTGTGGTGCCACTGCTTTGGCACCTCCTCAGGGTAGGAGGGGACAGATGTCCTGGCTTGCTGGCTGGAGTTTGGCAAGGCCAGTGGCTGACGCATGGACTATAATGTGTAATGCAAACCCTGCATCCTTCAGAAGTGAAAAATGGAGTGCTATATTTTCTAGGGAATTTTTTTATGTTAGGTCTCTGGGATTCATGTGGCATTTAATAGCATGCATTTAAAATTAAACACGTGCTAACAGCTAGCCTGAGGTGTAGCTGAAATCCACTGGTGAGCTCCTGTTCCTACCACAAATAGAGGAAGCAAAGCTTTTTTTATTTGGTGATGAAAGCATCTTGGGGAGTTTTAACCTCAGTTCTGAAGGGGCACCAGTCCTGCTGCATAACATAACATTCTCCAGGCTTTCACAAAACAGAACTAAGGCATCAGACCAATCCCACAAACACTTCTTGTTCTATTTCTTACCTGAAACTTCAGAACATGACACTACTGGGCAGGCCCTGCCATTTGCTGTGGAAAGCAAGGTGATGTCTTTCATTCCAGGTTAGGTACTTATGTTTGGGTTGGGGTTTTTTGTAGTTTTCATTGGTTGATTTGGTTTGCTTGTGTTTTGGGGTTTTTTAAATCAGTTTTAGACATCTGCTTAGACTGCTGTGTTAAGTTGCACAGTTGGTGAAAGGGAGGAAAGCAGTAGATTACACTGTGGTCTTTGACTTTCTCTTGTTACTTTGTAGCTCATTTAATTTATCTTCTCATGACCTGGTAAGCAAAATCTATCTGTTTGTTTTGGGCCTTGGTCTAGGGTTTTTAAGATTTGGATCAGGCCCCTGTATGCATTTATATAAAGTACTTCTTGGCCATTGTTTAACTTTTTAAATATTCTCTTTTTTTAATGTGTTGAAACTGAACAGTTTCAATGAGTTGTCCTCCCTCAGTTTGCTCCTTTGCCTTCAGAAACTGCAGTTAATGTTCACTTCTTGACTTTGCAGAGAAAAAAAAGACATTAATAGACCAGCTCACTTGAATTACTCTTGTTGAAAACTGATTAAAAGCTTATTGCAGCCTCGTCTCACAAATGGCATGCATCCTAGTTCTCATTTGATGGGCAGCCTGTCGGCTTGTCAAATTACTCAATAGAATAATTCAATTACTCAAAGCAGCATTGCTGATATGAAGAGCTTATGTAGCTCATTGCTAGCGACTCGATGCTTTTCACTCTGCAGGCTGGTGACATGATTTGTGAGTGGGCTGTGGCTTTAACAATGGAAGGCAAAGCTGCTTTGTCGTGTATTTCCTTTCCTCCTCTTCCCTTACCCTCCCCTTCCTATCCCTTCCCTCCACCAGGCTATTTTTGTGGTGTACTGAGCTCCCAAAGTGAACCAAGGGAAAGGGAAAAGGAGTGAGGCGAGCAGTGTTGCAGTCCTTACTTTGCAGATTTAATACATACACCCTATTCAGAAAATACAGCATGTATGTGGGTCAGTGATCCCTGCAGATTTTTATTATTTATAGCCATTCCTATAAATACAGGACTTCCCACAGCAGGGTTCACGCAGTGCCGTGTTTCTTGTAAACTGAAACATTTTTATCTCTGCTACAGTCTGGAGGTAGCAAGTGCCAGCTCAAAGGTGAAGATAGAAATGAAAGAAAGCAGTATACGTGCAATGGTGACCCTGCCACAAGGCAGACTGTTCAGCTGGGAAAACACTGTAGTGGCTCTAGCAGAGGACAAGGCTTTCAGTGCTATTTCTGTATTTGATGCCCAAGGGATTTTTTTTCCTCTCTATGTTTCTGTGCATGCATGTGCATGGAACATAGGTGCTAGTCTATGACTGGGACAGCTGTGTGGGTGGGAATGTGTAATCACAGAACGAACGTCCTGCATCTGCTCTGCCATGTGCTTCCAAGCACAAAGAGCTGCTCTTCTGGTCTTGTGCTGCCCCTGGGAGCTACCCAGTCATGAAGGGGTGTTGGGTTCCTTCTCCCTGTGGTGAGCACTGGTGCTGGCTGGGTAGGCTCCCACAGCAGCAAGTGCTGTACGCCCCTATCAGTTGTTAGGCAAACATCTGCAGCTGGAATGTGTGGCATGTTCCTCTGATTTGCCAGTTCTCAATCTTGCATAGCAGCACATGTAAAATACTGAAATGCGGTTTTCTGTTACTGTTAATGTTCAAAAATCTTGGTTTAATGTTGGTGTTTTGTTTTGTGAATAAAATAGATCCTGGTCCTTTCCCCCACCCCCCAAACTGCAGGATCCAAACCCTTTCTCCCACTGCCCATGTGTAGTTTGGCTTCCTTTGTTTTGCTGCCTCATACCAAAACCACAGCAAACAAATGAGATGTGTGCTGGGTGCTCAAGGCCAAAGAATGTTTTAAATGGTCACAGTTTGTTTTATGCAGCCATACAGCGTGGTACATTTTGAAAGGTACACTGGGATGGTGTTATTGCAAGATACTGAATATGACATTGTACTGGTTGCAATTTGGTTTTGGTGCTTGGTTTGGGAAAGCATACACTCATATTCTAAAATACAGAACTATTCAAGAAGAATTAGTGCAAGTTAAGGCATCATGCTGCATTTATTGCTAAATGTGTGGTTTTATTTAATTCAAACCTGCAAAGAATTCATGTACCTGTTTTTCAGAGCATGAGCATACAAGCACTGGGGAGCAGTTGGCAGGATCAGAACTTCAGCCTGCTCTGGGTAATAGACCCTCAGGAGAGGAAAGAGAAAACCCACTTTCTTAGATACAACTCTCCTTATCTCAATACTACTTCTTAGCAAATTGTGTTGGTGGCTGGACTCTAAGCATGTGATTAAACTGTTAAAAAATCAAGATATTTAAGGATTAGTTACTGTATTAAATCCTCTTACATGCTCTGGTTGCCCGGTGTAGAGTATAATGTAATGATTGGTAATTTCTCTTTTCTTTTCTAGTACAAGGATGCATTTATGAAAGCAAACCCAGGGTACAAGTGGTGCCCCACAACCAACAAACCTGTGAAAACCCAGGCATCCAGTGTTACAAACAGGAAAAAGCTATGGGCCATTGCATCAGACTCTGCAAAAGACTTACCGAGCCCAAGGAAAGTAACCAAAAGTGAAGAAATGCCACAACTTAACTTTGGGATGGCAGGTGAGATCTGGGCATATGGTATTGAAACTGAATTGGGATACCTAATTTCTTTAACACACATGGTCCTGTAGTGTCCCAGATTAAGTTGCCAAAACTGTAGTTAAACCTCTGTGTATCAGTTTTCTAAAATTTTCCGTAGTGCATGATTTATTTTCAAAATGTGAGGCATCCTAACTCTTACCCCCTGTAGGGCCCAGATTTGATTGATTTTTTGATTCCAGTTTATCTGCTGTCAGAGACTTCCATTCTCTGGTTACTCTGGTTAAAAAGGAAAGTGCTGGTTGTGTGCATTGTCTTTCTCTGTCATAGAATGCTGTACTCTTTTAAGTAATTTACTCTTTGCAAAAAAAATATTATGGGTGTCTCAAGTTGGATATGATAATCTTGTAGATTAATTAATGTTCCAGTGGGGCTAACACTTTTGTATTTTCATCAAGAGAAGCACAATTTAATTTCACTTAAATGTGCTCTTTTGCCCATTATACCTCAGAGGAGCAAATTCTAAACTTCTAAACATTTGGAAAAAAAATAAAAAAAAAATATGTGAAGAAGTATAGGTGGAGTGCCTGAGCTGGTGAAAAGCAGATAATCTCTAACTGATATCCATAAATAGCAGAACTGTTGTAATCATGACCTTGAAATACAGGGATGTTAATGTTAAATACTGGTAGCTTAAGAACCTAGCAGTCAATGTTAAAAAAAAAAAACCTCCCTCCCATTGTTTTTTCCTTTTGTTTCCCTTGGGTTTTTTTGTGTTTTGGGGTCTTTTTTGTTTGGTTGGTTGGTTTATTTTTTTGCTTGTTTAAAGTTTCAGATGCATCAGTAGTTATAAAATTAGAAACTTTGTCATATCCTACCTGGTTATGACAGGTGTGTAGCAGATAGGACTTCACTGCTTAGAGAGATTGTGAACTGGAGAGTAGAAAATGGTTTTATGGAGCAAGTTTAAAAGAATGGAAAGTAATAAAGAGGCATGTATATCTTAGCATAGTGCTATGAAAATGGCTGTAATGAAATTTCTTCTGGCTCTTAAGGAACTGTGAAATGTGATCAAAAGAAGTGTTTCATGCTGCATAGTTCTGGTATATGGGAGAGCAGTTTGAAAAATCACAAGCCCCTTCAGACCATTCTGCTTTTGCTGTTAGAGGAGTAATTTCTATGCTCCTTAAATATTTATTGACTTAACACAAAGAACAAGTAACAAGCCTTAATCTACCTCTCATCCATCCCCCAGTGGTCCTGCTGGGCTATCCTAATGTCAAGTTTTTGTGCACAGAGGTCTTGAATCAACACCTGTCAGAGTAGGGGACAGAGAAATTAAGAATTAATTAGAAACTAATCCATTGTTCCATTTATAGAGCCATTTATATCTGAAAAAAGTCCTTTAGTGCTACCTGTGATAGTTTGTTTGGTTTTTTTTCCTGCAGGCTGAGTCAATGAGCATAGTCATTCATAGGATCTTGCTCCAATCCTCATGCCAGTGAAGGCTGGCAATATCTTGGGTATAAGAATACCCTGTAAAATAAAGACAGCTTCTGACAGAGATGTTAGCAGCATCCACATCATGACAAGGGTGCCATGCCAAATGGATTACTGCTTTGTCAACTATATACCAGTTCATGCTATATATGTTTATTGGGCTGTTCTCTGCTTGACTTCAGATGATAGTTCAATTCAGCTCTCACTCTTCTCCCCACTACAGTCTCTTTAAAATCCAGGCTGTATACTATCTGATGAACTGAAATGTAGCTGAACCACCTCAAAAACACTTTTACCTTTGAAATACCACTGATACACTTGTATCTTCAAGGCAGGTAACTTCCTCAAGACAGGGTTTATTCGAGTCTAGAATCATGCCAGGAAATCTGTTTTGTTTGTTGGTCATTGCTAATCATGTCTTGATTGCTTTTTGTGTACTATATTTTTCTTTGGAAAATCTAATATGTAGACAGTAAGATCTTACTTTGTTTTTTATAACTCCTATACAAGTTGTTTCTGTCCTTTTTTTTGGCTTTACAAAAATAACCATGCCACATTTAAGTTTCTTATGCTGACCTACATTATATCAAGAAGCTGAGGTATGGCACCAGCATTGGGCTTCTGACCACCTGCAGACCCACTAGTGATCATCCAGCTGGGAAGCTGTAATTGTGCATGTTTTTCTCATTATATGGCTCACCTGTGTAGGATGTGGGGCAAAGAACACTGCTGTTTGCAAAAGCTTTGTCATGCAAATGTGTGAGATTTGCAGTACTTGCATATTTTTGCTTCAGAAGAAAACCATCCATGCCAAAATGCTTTTTAGTGAGGCAAAGGCTGGAAGAAGGACACTTTTAGAGTAGGCTATATCCCTATAGAAACACAGTTTGTTTTTCAGAAAGAACCTCAATTATGCACCCAGGTAAAAGTTGGTTGAAGCTAGTTCCTGCTGGCCTTCTTCCTGCTTAGTACTTCCTCAGTTTGTTGTTTCCTCTGACAGAGAAATGATGAACAAGCCAGCCTGCTGAGTCTGCAACCAGCCCAGTACTAACAAAGTATGTCATTCCCAAACAGAGAGATGGTTTTAAGTTTCATCAATATTAAAAGCTGTTGAGAAAGTCACGAATCGCCTGCCATTCTGCAAGTCAAATGTGTGTGCTATTTTCCCAGTACTGTTAAGAATAAATTCTGTAAAATGCCCCTTAAAATTCTTCTACATACCAGTAAGCTCCTAGTGCCAGAAGAGAATATATTGTGCTGAGAAGGCACTATAAGCATAAGGTAGTGTTTGGATATGTACATTTTGTCTTCCCTTAGGTGAAGTTATTTTGTAATTGAAAAGCTTAGTATAAGGATTTTTGTTTTTATCATGAACAGACCCTAAGCATCAACCCTCTGCTGCCGCTGCAGCTTAAGTGTTCAAATTGTTTAAGCATCACATTAAACTTTGGTTTCTAATTCATCTGTCATTTTTTCCTTCCTCCTAATTTTTATATTTAAATAAACAGTTTAAGTATTTGCTTACTTAGGGAGAAAAACACTAACCACACTTCCATCTTTATTCTCTTATGATAAGCTACTTAATTGAGAGGCAGAAAGCCAAAACTACCAAGAAGATATTTAGAAGACAGGCAAGAATTTTCCAGTTGTAAACTGGATGTTCTTGAGATGGCCAAAGCTGGGGAGGGGGAAATGGACCGACAGGTAAGGAAAATAAAGCACAAAAGAGCATCTGAGAGTCATCAGGGGGCTGCAGGCATGAGAAGGTGCTATACTGCAGTTTGCCATGCAGAGTGTTTTCAGGACCCCCCTCATCTGATGTGGTTGCACTGCTGGTCATCCATATACAAGAAAGACAAGCTGCACCTGGGATAACTGCAGAGGAGAGCTGTAGGAATTGCTGAAATTATGGGCAATGGATGTGCTTTATGACATTGGGAGATCTTGATCTCTTTAGACCAAGAAAACAAGTGGAAGAAGAGTAGGAAAAGTCCTGTAAATGCAGAAAAGGGAGATACCATTTAGGGAAACAGGTACTAATCTTAGAGATGCGAGTACCAGAAAAACATGTACTACCTGGCCTTGAGTATATTTAAGCTAAAACCTGGAAGAAAGCCCTTAATGCTTAGAAGATTTTTATCCTGCAAACATCTTCCAAAGGGAGTAAAGAAACTAGAAAACAACCAGCCAAGGCCTTACTGTTTAATATGGGGCTCAGTAAGTTTATAGAGGACCTGGAGATCTCTTCCAGTCTCTCCTTCCTCCTGCTCAGGCATTATCTTCCAAGATATGTGTTAACTTTTCTCTTCCTAATTGCTCTGATGTCTTCTGGTTTGAAGGACTGAATGGTTTCTGATCAGCTGCTTGGATAGCAAAAAGTGTTTTTGCTGATAGAATCACTTCACTTATGAATTGTGTTTAGATACCTACTGGCCCTGCACATTTTCTGTGTCTCTTCCTTTTACTAGATCCTACACTTCTGATAGTGCCTTGTCTTTTCATAGAAGTGTGATTTTTTTTTCCCCTTTTTAATTTAAAAAGGCAAACTTCTTCAAAAAACCTAAAACCTCTAAAACACTTGTGTATTATGCGTTTATTGTGGTGAAGGAAAAAGTTAATTCCAGTTGAATATTGGGTTTGAAGGTAGGTGCTATTTAGGATGCCTGTTTAATAATATGCCACTCTTCTATCCATGACGTAGTGAATGAGCCTGGTTAATTTACATTGTTTTCCTCTGTTTCTATTTAATACCCTTCTAAAAGACTATTGGAAAAACTTATCTTGGGAATGTCAGTGAGAGATGTTCTGTGCACGAAAACTTTGGGCAGCATCTGTGATATTGAATTAAACAGCATTGATGAGTATTCCCATGAATTGGACTGTGATCATCTGAACCCCTAAACTGTTTGGAGGTTTACAGGTACAGGTTTGGCCCATGTCAGCTGAAAAGATAAAAAAAATCCACTCGCATTGTAGCTGTTGCATGAGACATTTGGCCACTGTGTCTCCCTGTGTCTACATGACAGTGTTAAATCAGGCGCCTGCATTGCTCCCAAGGCATTCTCCCAAAATCAGACAATTAGTCTTCATAGTGATGAAGAGCAACCACTGTTCTGAGTGGAAAAGCTACTCCATGAGAAATGCACTGTCAGAGTTTATTGCTTTCACTTCTTGTCATTTTCTGAGCTCCTGAGGTGCAGAAAGGCCAGAGGGAAAAAGCTGTCAGTACCAAATACTTGGAGAAAGAACATTTATATCTCCATTTTACATTCCTCAATTATGTATTGTATTGGCAGGACAACAAGTAGGCAGGCAGCTTGCCTGGCCAGTGCTTGTGCTGTTCTGGCTTTATGCTTCAGAGCTGTCAGGCTGGCACTTTTCACCACTAAATACAGCTCTAAATTATAGACAAATGAAAATAGAAATTTTGCTTCAGAGCTTGATTGTGCTGTTTTGTTCCATTCTTTTATTTGTTCAGTTGCCAAGGAAGGAACCGCTCCCTTGGTAGGAGCATCCACCAACTTATAAACCTGTGCATTATTAGAGCATCATTGTGTATATTTATGTGTGAGATCATTACAGTTGCTGTTTTAAAGATATTCATCTCTGTGGTACATAAAACCTTTGGCAGTAGAATTGTAAATCCATGCAATGGGGTGTTAAGCACACAAATCCAATTAAATCCTTCAAACAGCTTTGAAAGCCTTCCCAGAGGGTACAGAAATGGTTATTTGTGATTCTCTTGAACTGCCTTTTATGGCAGCTTGCTGAGAGTGTCTGTGACAAATAGTCTTCTGGGTCTTTAGTGGTGCAAGTGGTAGGTTTTTTAAACAAGCAAATGAATCAACTTAAGACTTCGCTTTATTCTTTTAACAGATCCTACACAAATGGGAGGCCTGAGTATGCTGCTTCTAGCAGGGGAACATGCACTTACTGCACAAGAGGTAAGGAACTCTCTTCTCTTCTCTTCCTTACCATGAGCTCTCAGTCTAAAGAGCTTCTAAGAGGAATATTTGACCAGTAAGGAATTAAAGTGTAGGACACACCTCAGTTAACTTCAGCTGGGAATGAAATGTGTGTCTTGTATCCCAGCTGTGAATGTGGGTTGAGCATAGTTTAGTATTAACTCTGCTGATACTTGAACATACCAGTCAAGCCTGGCCTATGAAGAGACATTGTCAGAGGTAAAAGGGTTGAAATACTATGTTGACAAACAGTTGGTTTGCAAGCTTTCTGGGCAAGGATTCTATATGCTTGTGCAATGCCTGACACAACTGTGGCCTGTCATTAACAGATGAATAGACAAGTAATTTCCTACAAAGTCAGCATCATTGTATATACATTCTGAAACCCTGCAAGTGCTAACAGGTAATTGAAATATTGCAGTCTGCTCCTGGTCACTAAATCATTAGTGAATTAGTCTAAATCATTAGTCTAAAAAGAAGTTTGTAGTTCAGTTGGCATCACAAACGTGTTTTTACAAAGGAATCTAGTAAATGTTTGTGTATATCTCCAGTAGTGCAGAGATCTCCGGTCTTTCTTTAGACTGATTATTAATATAATCTCATTTTTAGGCCAACTTTGAAAATTGTTCAAAAGGTGGCTTCTTTGTTGGATGTAGTAAGTAGTACTGCTATAAATCTCTAGCTCAAAGAAAGAACTCTCTTTTGTTGTTGTTGTTGGTTTTATTGGGAGGAAAAGTAATAATTAACTTAATCTATACGTGTAGTGCATTTGGGATGTATTGCTTCTGTACTGCCAGGACTCCTCAATGCTTCGCACACCAGTTTTAGCCATGGAAGTTTTGTGCTGTGTGGGTACTGGCCTTCTGTGCTGCAGCATGAAAAATAAGAAACATTCAAGTCAAGTTGACAGAGAAGTGAAAAGAAATACATTATTTTGTGCTAAAATTATACTGTCCTTCTCAAACTTGTAGTCTCTCAGCTTGGAGCATACAAGCTGCTTTTACTATGCTGTTATGTTTAAATGTGAGGGAAGGTATATTGTAGTCACAGATATTGCATTCCTTTAAAAAAGGTCTTTGTTATGACCTTGAGAGCTGAGGTGACTTGATTCTACAAGAGCCTCAGTAGTATGATTTCAGATGGCAGTGTAGGAATAAAATCCACATGCAGATTTAGAGTCAAATCAAAAAGCATATTGTGTGATTGCTTTAGTGCATAAAAGTTCTTTTAATCAGAACTTTCTTATTTTGAGCAAAATACATGTTTCCTGTGTGCCTCAATAAATCCTGGTTTTCCCGATAGAAGTGTGCAATACAACTTGTGATGAAATATTCAGTTTATGTATAAACTACACTCTACTCTTCTGGGCCTGTAGTCTTCTTTTGAAACCTGGCCTTCCACATCAAAGAAGCAAGCTGTGTAAACTGCTTTCCCCAAAAATGCATAGCAAAATAATTGTCATAAATACAGCCCAGACAAAACTAGTTGGGGGATTGCTAGAGTTGAGACGAGCCATAATGTAGCCCATACTTACTAATGAATTACCATATTTTAATTGTCCTGCCCTACCTGAGAAGTGGTTAAGGGACAAAGCACTTTCCCAGGAAACTGCACACCTCTGATTCTTTTTGAGGGTCCCCTTTGTAAAATACCTCCTCCAGGTCAACTGGGGAGATTGATATTCTTAAAGAGACACAAATGAACAAAGTTCAGTCCTCCTCATTGTGTGTTTGCAGGAGTTAAGTCTCCAGCTGTGTGTCCAGGTGCTGAGAGACTTTCTTGGTTTCTTTTGTGTGGCATCCTTCCATTTGCCTTCCATGGTGTGTCTTCCATTTGTCCTTTATTTTCTTATGTTTCAGTGGTGAATCAATACAGAACAAATATTTCTTAGGTGTGTGTTTCTCAAATGCAGTAATGATCCTAAATCTGTTTAGACTTGGGTAACTGAACAGCTCTTCTGTCTTCCCACCCTCAAGCGTGTAGACAGAGGAGATGTAAGATGGTCATCTTTGCATGCCTTTAGGAGGATCTATGGTTGGATTTCCATGCTTATGATCTCACACTTAAACCAGCATCTGAGAGGTTAGCAGAGCATGCTAAGAGGTGGTATGACAGACTCAGAAAGCAGCTCAAGAATTCATTGTAGAGCTGGGAAGCTGCTTTGCTCTTGAGGGGAGAGGAGGAGTCAGTTGTGTTGTATTAGAGTTGGTATTCACATGGGAGAGAATATGGTGTACTAAGGTGACTACAGAGGTACGGTTAGTGAAAGAGGTTCAGAAGTTGCTTTATTATGGAGAATGTATGTATTGTTTTTATATGTTTGTGAGTATATAAATATACATTGTACATCTAAAGACTTCGCAATTTCAATTTTTAGAAAAAGAACAGACACGGTCATATTTTAAAGAATGGTCTAAATTATAACATGTAGTCTAAATTATCATGAAAATGTGTATACACTTAAGATACATGTACACATATATGATTCTTAAACTGGGGATTTGCCAGACACAGGATTAGCTGTGACATGCATATTGACTGCTGTGTGTATGTATGATTATGCAGCCTCGGGTGGCCTAGTAAGCATAGGTCTTAGATACATACTCCTACAACTTTAAAGTTCTTAACAGAGGGAAGGGCAACACTGGCACAGTTTTGCTCAGCACTTGAGAGAGGATGAAGGACATAGTATTTAGAGGTCTGCTAATCCAATGAAAAGTAGTCAACATCTGCTGATGTTCTGGCAAGTGTATGCTAAATGAATGGATAGGGGTTTTTCCAGTGAGGTGTTTAATCTTCGAGTTGTCAGAAGCCCAGATGTCAGGTAACCAAGTGACCAGCCAGCAGGAGGATGGGAAGAGGCACAACAATGATATTTACAAAATTGTTTTGAGGCTTCAGTTGCAATCTCTGTATGTTGCCAGTATGTTCCCGGTTTTGCAAATTTTTGTAATAGACTGGGGAGTTTCTCTTCTAGTAAAAGAATTCAGTGGTGGTGGGTGATTGATTTCTAGGCAGCAGCTGGCGTTACTAAGCAGATAGGCAAGAGAAGCTACAGACCTTATAGGCAAAGGACATGGATATGCAGTTTCCCCCTGCATTTTGAATGCTTTCATCGATTACACAAGACAGCGGTGTGTGAGCATATTTTACTGAACACCTGAGCAGAGATGCCGGACGGATCATCTGCAGCTGCTGTGGTTGTGCCAGGCACAGCCGGCTCCTCGGCGCAGGCTATTGACAGCAAGGCTGCAGCCGGGTGAGCGGCGCTCCTTGCTTGCCCGTTCGCCTCCCTGCACATCGCCCGTACTCGTCCGTCTGGCCCTTTCCTTGCCTTACAGCAGCACCTAGTGGACTCTCGGTGGGTTACTGCCCAGAAATCCCGACAGCCGGAGCGGCCTCCAAAGCCTCCAGAGCCTGCGTGTCTGCGGCACTGATGCCTCGCAGCCTCAGGATGCGGCTGGCCCAGGGATTTCCTCCGCCCTCGGTCTGTGGGATCGTTTCAGACCAGGTTGTGGTAACCTGCAGGGAAAGGAAGGCCTGTGGTTGCCTTCTTTTTGAGTGCAAAAGGCTATCGTACATGTGATGCAGGGTCCGTGCAAAGTGTGAATCAGAAGTGAAAAATCTCTCAGGGCAGCTCAAGAGAAGGCTTGGAGGAAGAAATGGGATTTTGAGGACATTTTATTAGAGCAGGAAGTGGGATGTACAAAATGGCACTATCTGTTCATCTGCTTCTTCTGGTAACTATTTTAATGCTTTGATCAGGTCCAGCCTGGCAAATGGTAGAAGTTGTGGAGATAATAAGTTTCCCACAGGTCAGGAGTGTTTGGGGAGCAGCAGAGTAGAAGAAACAAGGTCTAATGAAGTGGTCTGCCAAGTAAAAGCAACAGCATTAACTTTTTAAAGAGTAGCAGGAATTAATAAGAAAAACATAGTGGTTCCAACCACAAAACCTCCACTGAGTTACTGAGCACCAGCAATCTGTCCCTCTACACACAAACCCGTAGAAAACTGGACTTCACACCTCCCACAGCAGGTGGTTCTGGTACCACCAGTGTACAAGCCATGCCCAGCCTGCAGCACATGCCCTCTGAGGCAGCGAGAAGGCTCATCCTGAGTGTCTGACAGCACCTGGCTGAGCCCAGATAGCCCCTCTTGGAAGGGCACAGCCACTCCAGCATGGTGCTCCTGGGGTCCATGGCTCAATGGCTCCAAACTCAGAGCTAAGCAGTGTAAAACAGCTGTTTGAACTGCAGAAAATACGGGAAACAAGTCCAAAGTTTGGTTATTCTTTTAAGAATCTCACCAATGCAGTGGCCTAAAATAACCAAATGAATGCTCAGACATGCAAGCAGCAGCTGTACATATTTGCACCTTTGCAGAATCTCAGACCTTTGGAGATGAGTCTCTCAAAAGCAGCCAGATACTTTTCTGGTAGTAGTCCAGACTACTGTTGAGGCACAGACGTCTTAAACGGACTGTACAGAAACATGATAAAAGTCAGTAATAAACATTACATCAGTGAAAACAGTTGCACAACCCACTAAAAAAGGCAGAAGACAGACATTAGAATTACATTCTTTGTAGCCCTTTGGGTTGCTGTACTCCCATGGTACACCGATGAAACATCCTGCTCAGTGTTTAACAGGAGTCACTGTTGCTGATGAGGTTTATGGCAGGAAAGAAAAAAGTTTGTTTGTATGTAAGCAAATTGTCACATTGGTGAATTTCCCCTTGTCCTCTGGGCTGCTACACTTGGATTTTGTGTTTCCAGGGGAGCGTGGGTAGCAGATTCCTGAAGGCAAATGCTGCTGTTGCTGTTGCAGTGCTTCAGGATCTCAGATAGCAGCAGCAGGGCAAGCTGCACGAGCTGTGGGGCTTTGTGCTTACTTACCAACAGGTGCAGTCAGTGGCTAAATCTTATGTGCTTTCACCAATAAAAGCTGTTGATTTACTTGCTTAGGCAATGAATAAGAAAAAGCCCCACATTTATTTTTTCATTTGTTAAGTAAACTGAAATTTTGAGGGGGAAAAAAGTTGTTAGGGAAAAAATTTTCATCCTGTTACTGTTTATAAAATCTTACAAAGCTTCCTTCCTTTTTTTCTGTTTCTTACAAGCCATGTTACATACCTTACTTTATACTAACAGTACTTCATTCTCCTAGGAGTTACACATGTACATCTTTTATACTCAAATGTGACCCTTAATGAATGTATCGTATTTGATAGAATTCCTTTACAGAATAATGCTTGATTAACACATTTCTAGCTAATAAGGATACCATGGCTAAGATGTGTTAATTCAAATAAGGATTTTGGTTTTGAACAGTCATTTGTTTGTATTTTGTTTTCAGTTATAATGACTTTCTTGCACTGCTTCTCAAAAGCACCCCTAAAATATATGTTTAAGTACATGATTAGAGAAATTTTAGGCTTGTGCTACCCTTATCTATTTATTTTCATGCTGTTATGATTGGAGATTATTTTTCTAAATAGTATTTCTGTCATCAACTGTGTCTTCAAAATATTTTTTTACCTTCTATGTAATCTTACTCCGAATTATAGCACAAATTACAGATGTAGCAGTGTTTATAGCATCACCAATACAAGATGGTTATGTGTGTAGTCCAGTATAATCCATTGAGTATTCTATTGTATAAAACTATTCTGACAAGTTCAGAATCATAAAAGGAGAAGAAAAGCCTGGTATTTTTATGGTCTTCTTTTCTAAGACAGTTTTCAAATGCATTATAATAGGTGCTAAACAATGTTTTTATCTGTAAATGTGATTTAATTTTTCCAGGACTGTGAAACATTAGCTTGCCCTTCTTCTCTTAAATGGTTTATTTTGCTCACTGTTGTTTTTAGCTTGAGGGAAGCACCTTTGAGGTCTTACCCTGCACTCTCCTTTTTCAGGTTTCCTCCAGTACTTGCCAGTCTGATACATCTAATTCTACAGAAGCCTGTCAGAAGTCATCATTGTTTCAGTTTGCAGAGGTGAGTTTCTTTAAAAGAGTTTTTTTTTCCTTAGTGTATCCTTTTAAGAAGCATCTGATGTCCAGCTGAAAGAAAAATGTCTAACTAAAATTGATGTTTTTATTTGTTCCCTCATTTTTGGGTTTATGCTGTTGAATCATTTATCAGGTTGGTAAGACTTGAAGTGCAAGAGAGGATGTTTAGGACCCTGGTGGAAACCCAGGTGCAATAATGGAGCACCTGGTTTAAGCTATAATTTGGAGATATGTCATTCCTGCACTTAGTTTTAAGCTAGAGACTTATTAACTAAGGTTTTAACATGTATTTGGATGTTTCCAATCTAGTGTGGCTGCTTTAGTCACTGGCTCCATCAAAAATCATTCTAGTTCTTGACTCTCCAAAATTTTCTTCTAGAACCACCAAACAGCTCTATGCAAGTGTGCTTTGATTTTGCAGTGTACAATATTTTTGTCAACATACTCCAGCTATTTCTAGAAGTGTAACTGTGGTGTGTGTGTTATTGCTCTTTTTCTTTGAAGAGTTTCATCTAAGTTGTAATGGGTTTCATAGATGTAAATAACATGACAAAAATGAAATTGCAAGGAACTCTAGCCCTCTGCAAGCATCAGTTTTTTCTTGAAATAATCATAATACATGACACAGAAATATTTAGCTGCATAGATACTGATTTTACAAGACACTGGGTAGTTTTAAAGTAAGAGTATATGGAAAGAAATTTTGTCGTAGTGAGGGTTTTTTATTACCTGTGTTCACACCAGCTGTGAATTTGACTTGTGTGTCTTTATTACCCATTGCCTTGTGCACTTTCATACTCCTCCCTAAAAGATCATCACTTTGGGAGCAGACACTGCAGTCCTAGCACACAAGAAATGGGACTTCTTTTTCAGTTGGATATTTTAATATCAGTGCACAAGCCCTTGAATTCCAGCTTAAGATCTGAGTCTTTTAAATATATTAGAAGTAAATTGGAGCACTGATCCTTTATTTCTGATTAAAGATAATGGCCAGAGTGAAGTAGATAACCTGTAATTAGGCTCTTAAACAGCCCGCTGGCTTTCCTTGTTAGGAAGAGGAAATGCCTGGTGTGCCAGCAGTGAAAAGCAATACTTAGATGCTTCTTAGAATTGGTTAATTCCAGTATCACTTATGACACTTTTGTGGTAATGATTCGACATCCATCTTTCCCATATCTCTGAGATGCTTCTGTGTGTTTATACTGTCAGTAGAGTCTTGTATTGAATTTCACTGCTGAATCTTTAAAAGAGTAAGACAAATACCAGCTCACCTAATTGTTTCAGTTCATTTTACAGTGCCGAAGGAGGCAAGTGCCAGAGTCATGTGGTAGAAGGCAGGAATTGTGTGCTGGCAGATATGCCCTTGCTAAGGGTTTCTGACCTCAGGCTTTTCCTTACCCATTGAAGAAAATTTTTAGTGGGTGCCAGGAAACAAGCTCACCTGCACTGCTAAAACAGGTGGTTTAGAAATAGCCTACTGATGATCAGTAATTAGAAATGCAAATTAGCTAGTCTTATTTTTCAAGGATGTTAAACATCCTGTAGAGAGGGTGCACCTAACCAGTGCATGGTAGGTATGTGTGTCAGTGGCAAAATAATTGATACTTGTAGTGAAGTCTAACATTAATCAGAAGTGTCATTTGCAACAAAACTAATTGACACAAGTTCAACAGTATGAAATGCAGTTACCTTGGTGTGGGGGATAGATCTGGTATCTCAGAATACACACATTGTGTTTCTGTCCACACTTACCTTCTGTACTAAGTAGCAATTTGTGCTCTGTCATCACCACCATTCTGCAGTCTCAGGTCTTCCACTGAACTGTGAAATACAATACAGTGTTAAGTGTTGGTTGCTAACCTTTCTCTGATATATCAGCAGGCAAATAAAAGCCCTTCAAAAAAAGCTTATTTTGTAGATTCTAGGAAGGATTTTCCTTCTGAAAAGTAATTCAAGATTACCATTTCACAGATCACCTGTTTATGTGTTTCCTGGAAAGCAGATACTGTTTGTTCTAAGGGTGTGTTGGAACTTGTTTGCATACTCTGGAGTACCAGGAATCTTTTTATGACAGATTATAAATTTAGCATGTTGAAGTGTGATACTGAAACTGAACAGTTAGGTAACACAAGCATAATTGTTTTCCTGACAGATCTCTTCCAACACGTCACAGCCTGGAGTCCTGGGGGCAGTAAAACAAACGGAGGAGTCTGCATTGTTTCAGTTTGCTGAGGTACAATGGTTGAATGTGGTGGGGGAGGATGGGAGGAAGCAAGGAACCGCTAAGAGTTGCCAGTGAATGGCTGAGCACCCTGTCTTATCAGAGATTCCCATCAGGAGATGAATATCTTCCTGACAGTATTGTGTTAAGAAAACCGTGGAGTGAATTACCAGTGACTGGATGAGATGTTGGCCAGTTCTACCAGCTGAGGGGTATTGGGTTTGTGAACATTACCTAGCCTTCCATACCCAAAGGATAACTGCAGACTTACTATCCAAATGGCCTTTTAATTTACATCTAGGAAAACAGCAATTAAAAGTCATTCTGAAATGACACTGCACTGCCTGTGGAAGAGGCTGCAGCAGGGCAGAATGGTGATTGCCCTAGAGGCAGGAATCATTTGGAGAATCCTTGTAGGTCAAAGGAAGCTTATCACAGCAGCCACAAGGATATTTAACAGCATCAGTTAAGTGGTGACTTATCAAGCCTGTCAGTTTCCCATAAGTACACAGCTTTCTGCCTTCCTCCACCCATTGAAGATTTAGAGTTTGTGAAATGCTGCTTTTAGGAATTTCTTCTCCCATGTGTTAAATGTGCCTCTGTGAATTGACTTTCCACACATTTACTCTTCTTGCCCATTTGGGGGAGTCTGATACTGCTTGCAGAATCATTTAAGGCACAGGTGCATTTTGTGTGTGCCTGAAAAGGCTGGGATTGGAGCTGGTGCTATTGCAGAGGAGCATAAAGGGATTAAAAAATACCCTGATTGTTATTCTGTGTGTCACACACTTCCTTCTGTGTAATGTTGAGCTGATTGTCTACTATGTTTTTTTAGCTTGCTGGAAGGGGCCTTGGTGTTTTTCTTAGGAGGCCCAAGGAAGACAAACCAATTTACTGATTCAGGTGCCAGAAAATACCTGGCTACAAACACTCCTATAAAAGATAAATACAGTTAATAACTCTAATCATGAAAGTGTTTTCATAATTGTAACCCACAGCTTTGAAAGTTGGAAGTCAATTTGCAAAGCTCTTTTGAGAAAATTAGAATTGAGCAAGATGAAACTGTGTGCTGAAGCTAGACTTTTAAACCAAGTTAAAAGATACAAACTGGAGAACAATTCTTGTTAATTTTACTGCAAAATACTGGAATAATACTGCAAGTAAATCTGCTAACTTAGTTGCAAAAATCTCAGTCATTCTGGATATCTGCAGAGTTGAACAGAATATTTATTGCATTTAGTACAACATACTTAAATTGTCACATAAAACCTGGCTTAGCCATACTCTCAGAATTTCACAGAACCTAAAATCATTTCCTCTCCTAATTGAACAAACAAAATGACAAACCTGAAAATTGTCATACTGATGTTTGGTTGCATTCCAGTATGCTGAGTGAGCTCCTTTGGCACATTAGAATACACATATGAATCATCAAATATTAGGTAGAAGAGGTGCTTAGAAAGTTAATTAGGATTTACTGAGGACAGTTTTAGAGTCAGGGTTAATCTCTTTTTCTTGTAAAAATATTTAAATGTGTGTGCAGTCTGGAGGGGTTGGTTTTGTTCTGTGGCTGGAAGTAGGAGACAGAAATCTGGTAAAGAGAAAAAAAAAGAAAAAATTTAAAAACCCACCTTGTTAGCCATGGTTATTCTTCCTGCGAAACCTTAATGACAGTGATGAACATCATTTTTTGTTTATAGCAGTAGAGAAATGGTGTTTTTTCTTAGCTTGTAGCCTGATGATTTAATTTAGGTTGCTCCTGGGGAAAGTATTGAGCATATTACAGAACCTCTTTAAGGTTTCTCCCCTGCTATTAAAGCTGCTTGTGCTCTTTCAGCTATAAGTGCTTTCATTTGCACAGGCTGCCTTTGTGAAATTTGGCAAAAGTCCTATTTCTTACTGTGCCACTTCTTCTTGCATCTTGTCTATATGAATGCATTACTGCATTTAGAGAACTAAATTATGGCAAGCAATTTGCAGTGGGCTGCTGTCAGCAATGTACAGTGCTACAAAAGAAAAAAGAGAAGGAGAGAAAGTAGTTATTTAACCAGTAGCCAAGTAGACCTGTGAAGAAATGTGAAGTGTGCTCTGGTCTGATGTGCCTGGAGACTTCTGGCAGCCATCCCAGCTCAGTTTTGGTTCTGGCTGGGTGTTCCTCATATGTTGCCTTTCTCTTCACCGCCCTTGCAGCAGGGTGAGTAAAAGTGCTTCTTTGTGAAGACAGTGATCCCATTGAGTAGGTTTGTCATTTAAAACAGACACCTTTACCCCAGGAGTACAAGTGCCCTGTCACTCAGAAACAGCTCGTTATGTGTAGAGTAGCATGGGATTCTTTTTGTCTTTACAGCCTCAGTTAGTCTTTCATCTGGTTGTCTAGCCCAAGTGCTGTAGTTGTCAATTAAAGCTGTTCAGGATATGCCTGATGAGGCCTGCCCAATGACTTGCCACAACAGATGATGAAAATCCTGGAAGCAACATTTCATTGGGTTATGTGGGTGCACAGGCAAGTGCCTTGGAGGTCTTCAAAGATGATGTGACATCCTCATAAGAGCTTTTTGAAGTTTGGATTGTTGTCAAGTTATGCTTTTGTCTTTCTCATGCTTCTGACCTTGCAAGTAGTTGGCCCTAGTTTTGTCCTCCTCATTTGGAGCCGTATGGAAAGGCTGTGATTTCTGAGCAGTGGGCTGTGGTCCTTAGGGCTGTGGCTGTTTGCAGGCTGTCTGCTCACAGGGACTGGTCACTGTCCCTGTCCTTGCCATGAAAGGGAAGCAGAGCAGATGGGACCCCTTGCTCTCGTGGTCTTACTGCATCTGTGTTTGGCAAATGTGAACAGATGGTGGTGATTGCTTCCTTGAAAGATGAGCACCTCTTGGATTTACTTTCCTAAACTCTTATTCATTATTAAAGAAAAGGCTTCTGGAGTATGGAAGCAAAAGAATTGCTAGTTGAACCGTCTTAAAAATAAAGTGAATCCACAAACACCAAACTCTTTGCTTTCAGCAGCTTTTCTAAATTTTTTCTCAAAGTGATTTAATTAAAAAGACAAAAACAAAACCAGTCATGCGCAGTATGCAACAAGGTGAATTTTTTTTTGCTAGTCCAGCTTGTTATTTTCATTTAAGATAAAAAGCATGACTCAGGAGGATTTTGTCCATGCTGCATTCTCACATGCTCACTTTGAGAAGGTTTGCTCTGTGTTTATTTCTGTGCAGAACAGGAAGTTTGAATCCAAAACTTTTGGTCAAAATACCTTGAAATCTGGAGTGTAAAAACTAGTGAGTGTTTCCTCTCCCAGCTTCCATATGTAAAGTTGTAATCTTCCCAGGTAAAGAAAAATGTATTTGCTGTTTGCCCACATACTGAAATTATTAAATGTTTGTGTTGGAATGAAATGCTTGTTCTAGGAGGAATATGAAAAAGTAGTTCCAGCTTCTTTTGTAAACTAAAATGTAATATAATAGCTAAAGTCCCACCTGTATTGTAATAAAAGATAGTAACTTGATCCTGATGATCCTCCAGTTAAACCTCTACATCAGTAAAGGGCTGTTTGTGAAGTCTGGGAGATGTCCTTAAGACAGGGAATGGGATCTGTAACCTCACTGAGAGCTGATTGGTCAGCCATTTTTTTCCTTCTGATGTTTGGCCAGTAACTTCATCAGAACGAGTTACATGCTTCTGTCACTTGCTGTTTGTTTTCTTAGCTCTTTAAAGGTTGAGTTGGTTTTTTGTTCTGAGATGAAGTGTCTCCTTCCTCTCTTTCTTTTAGTGCTATAAAGAATCTCACATTTTGTTAGCAACACCTATTGTCTGGGCAAAAATTCTTTACTGTTTCCTCACTTTCTGCATCAGGAGGCAAGATATGCCTGTATGTTCTCAAGTTATAATTCAGTGTGTGTGGGTGTTGTTCTATCCTTTTTCTGTCATTCATGTTATGTAGAAAAAAAAATTTTTGTTAAAATAGATAAAAAAGTTGAAGTGCAGTATACAAGAGCATTTAGTCAAGGGGGGTCCTGAGCAGGTTCACTGAACTGTCTCAAAGCAAAACTAGGATGTTGAATTATTTCAGTTTAATATTAAAAATTACTGTTGGTGCACATTTGAGTATTATTCGCTGTACTGAAATAGCTTTAAGTGAAATGGTTGTCCTGGATTTTGGTGGAGGAGGATGTGGTGGGGAGTGTAATAATAAATTCTTTGACAGGTAACTGAAAGATAAATTCTTCAAATAACCTAGTTCAAAAGAGAGAATTTATTACAAGGAGAAAGGCAAACATGATAATGTTTGCATTGGAAGATCATAGAACCATAGGATGGTTTTCATTGGAAGGGACCATAAAGCTCATCTTGTTCCAGCCCCCTGCTGCATGCAGGGACACCTTCCACTCCATGGGGTTCCTCAAAGCCCCACCCAGCCTGGCCCTGAACACCACCCTCTCTGGGCCACCTGTTCCAGTGCCTCACCACCCTCTGAGTTAAGAATTTCTTGTAACATCTCCCATAAACCTGCCCTCTTTCACCTTAAAACCATTGGCCTTGTCCTGTCACTACCTGCGTAATCATGGTCCTAAATGTGATTTTTGTAATGAGGGAGATACCATAGAAACACTGATGATTTTGTCCCAAGGCTTTTAAAGGCTTCTAAGTCAAATACTACTATGCAATGCCATGCCAAAAAGGTCACATATCAGAAATTTCTTGCATTTCTGAATTCATAATGCTGCACTAGAAAGTAGGTCTGAAAAAGTTTGGCTGAAAAAGCAATTCCCTAAAGTGGTAATGGCAGTTATTTACTTATCAAAGGTGCTGGCACACCAACAGCTCTTTGGGAGGCTAGGTTTAATCTCCAGATATAGGTCTTATTTCCTTTTTCATAACTAAAGAAAGTGAAACAAGAACTGCCTGTGAGAACAGATGGTCCTCTTCTATGTCTAAATAATGGGAAATACTGCCCAGACCTTCTGGGAGAATTTAATTTAACCTTAACAACTAATAGGACATATTTTTAAGCAACAGGTATGATTTGTTGATTTGGTCACATAAAACTTATATAAAACACACAGCATGACAGAATATTAGCTGTGGACAGTACAAACATAGAGTATCCATGAACATAATCTAAGGAAGGAATGTGATTTTTGCTTGTGTTCTTCTGTTTTCTACATATCTCTTAAGTGTTTCTTGGGTGGGGTTGCCTGTCTGAAGTAGGGCTTTTTGCCAGAAAGAACTAAAATTTAACTAATCTGTTGTTTTCCATTCTTTTTTCCCCTCCCTTTCTGTCTTTCCTGTGTGCCACTGAAATATTTTCTCCTCTGTTCATTTGTAACCCAGATCTCATCAAACACTTCCCAGCTGCCAAGTCCTGAGCCAGTAAAGCACTGTGGGAAGTCGGCACTCTTCCAGTTGGCAGAGGTAAAGTTATACCCACTAGTGTCAGAAGGGGAGGATGTGTATAACTTTTCCACAAAAAAGTATTAATTGTTTAAGGTTTGCTCTAGTATCAAATTTCATGTTTCCAGAAACATAAATTAGTAAATAATGACATACCAAGAGAAGTAGGCAGTGGTTATGGTCCCAGGGATCTAGTCTTTTAGACACTTGTGAATGTGCTTATTTTCTTAGAGACAGTACAGAAAGTTATACTTCTTTTTGGGAAAGTTAGCTTTATAACAGTAATAAAAACAATGCTCAGGTGAACAGCAAAAACAGGAGGTAACGTATTCTTAATGAGGAGCTGGATACCAGGATTAAAAAAACAAAGCTTTAATGGTGATGATTGGAAGGTACATTGCTTAATCGAGGACTGAGAATAAGGAAAGGTCATCAGGAATCTGTATGAAGAGTTGGAAGTTGATGCAGTGTATTAAATTCTGAAATTGGCAGCTGTAATCAAGAATGCTGGGTCAGGTTTCCTCAAGGTCCTAGAAATTCTCTGTCAGTCTTAAATATAGCCTTGTAGAGGTCTTCTCTTTGATCTGAATGATTCACTCAAAAATCTCTGAGGTTTGATGTGCAGATGCTATTCTTTGTGATGATTGAAAGATGAAGATACATGCTGTATTCCAGACAAATAAGAAAGTATGCTAGCATGCTACTTGTACACTTCTTTTGTTGGTTTTTGTTGTGGTGTTTTAGTTTATTTCAAATTCACATCCTATTTGAGTAAGGAAAATGGTTCTCTGGATCCTCTCTAGTTGCAGACAGCCCTATATTCTTGCTGGTGAGATCAGTCCCTCTCAGGAAAAAGGCAGAGATTGGAAGCATTGAAATGAAAGTATTTCATGTCTTGTTCTAGTCTTGCAGGACTGTGGCTTTATAGGGATTTATATGAGTGGAAGAAAATCTGCCTTACTGTACAGGCAGTCTGGCAGTAGTAGAGTTTGTGGCTATGTGCTCTATTGCCAGCAGTGCCTGTGCAAGGGTGATTACACCCAACTGTGGTCAGTGATCCATAAGGGTATTTCGCTGTTGCAGCTCTGGGCCAGCAGAAGGGATGGGAGTATTTACTCAGGGACACCAGAAGTTTCTAACATGACAGCAGCAGGCTGAGTAGTGCTGTTCTGGAGTAAGGATTATTGCCGTGTGCAGCCTGATCTTTAGAAGTCAGCATTGGAGGTTGTGATGTGACCATGAAGCTTGTGAAGCCCTAATTTAGTAGAAGGACAGATGCTTGTCCACAGGAGTGCACAGTTTGTACTGCAGGTGGCAGAAAAAGCGAAGCGAAGTCTGGCAGCATGACGTGTGTTGGACAGGTTTCCGTGATCTCTCAGTGATTGCTCAGATGGTGTCCTGCAAGCCTAATTTAATACACAAAATGGACGTTAAAGGCTCTGATTCAAACAGGGAAAAACACAGCAGATGTACTAGGCACATCCTCCATGTCTCTAGCTCTTGTAGAGGTGAGCACATCAGTGCTATTGATTTTTTTCTTATTTTTTTCCCCAGTTTTGGAGATCTCTAATGTTGGATCATAGTTCAGTAAATGATATGTGAGAGATTCAGCTTGAGTTTTCAGATGCAGTTCAGTCTCTGGTTTGAAGCATCTTGAATAAACCATTTCATAATCACCTCGAGGGTGTCTTAGGTTTGCAAGTGGATTTGGCAGACAGCTTGCTGTAACTCCAAACTGCAGATGTTGTGCACTGGAGGGGACTACTGTTTCCATGCTGCTGCCATGGCAAGTGTCTGGTGCGTGGGAGCCTGTCTTCTTCAGCACACCACACTGCTCTGCTCCTCCTTCATGTCTTTGCTATGTAGATTAAACAATTTTATCTTCTCCCCCCCCCCTTCCCTATCCCTTCCTTTTTGATATTTCACAATATTTCACAGATGGTGATTAAAATAAAATGCTGAAGGGGGTTTAATTATTTTCTAAAACTTCTGAGGATTTCTAAGTTTCTACAAATGGTTGGATCCACTCTGCATTTGAAGCTTGGGAGGTGTTGCTGTTCAGCTCTGCTGAGTCCCTTGCTGTGTTTAGCTTCAGTGCAGAGGCACGAGAGTAAGTGTTGGAGTGCAGGAATGGAGCATCACCTCCCCAAGGCAAGGAGGCCACTGCAGACCACTAACAGCACCTGGCTGTCAGCAGCATGGGGAGGCCTGAGCTCTGATGATCAGAGCTTGGGAGGCACTGTGAAGAGCTGCACCTTCCAGGAGATGTAGAGACAGTGTTGGTTTTTGTTTATTCCCTTTATGGCAGTGACAGGTCAAATTCTGCAATCGACTTTGTAGGCCCATGTTGATTGAGAGCAATGAAAACTGAGTTTGTGGGGACAGGGAGAGACAAAAGGGTGTAAATATTTTGGTTCCCCAGTCCCTTATAACTTCATATTCTTGTGCAGCCTAAAGAAGGATGTATAAAAAGCCCATAAGCCTGGTCTGAGATGATGGGATATGTCCTTAAAAATACAACATTTTCTTCAAACTAGTGGCCAATCCTGATACTGATACTTTAAAGTTGTTTAGAAAAAGAACATTTCCTTGCACATATTTCAAAACTGACGCAAAATACTCTAAAGTACTGAAGAGAATCATGGCCTGATGCAGGAAAAAGATTCTTGGAGGATAGTCATCATGACAGCCTTCTTTTATTCTGAGGAATACTAAAGATTACCAAAGGCTTGAGGGCTTTTACTTAACTTTGGGTTCAGAGCATCTCTTTTATACGAGTCCTATAGCACACCAAAAGGCAATATCATAACCTGAAAGAAATGGCTTCCTTAACCTGTGATAATGAAATAATTAAAAATTTTGGAATCTGATGTCCTGCTAAGCCTTTAAAAACACCACCAGCTGGGCTGCATGCTGGTGTAGATTGTTGTTTAACTGCTGGAGTCTGTTCCTGTGTGAGAGAGCATGTGTTTCAGTTCATCCTGTTCCTCAAAAGAAGTCCTGACAAGAAAAACCCCAAATGTGCAAGTATCATTTAGTGTATAGTGGTATTGTGCAGCAGAGCAGTGTGGAGTGGGTTTTTATTCCTACCAGGATGCACAGGTCTACACTTCTATTTTAGTATATAATCTTATAAATGAATTTTGGGAAGAGGGGAAATAATCTGTTGAAAAGCTGTGTCATAAACATGAAATAATTGGTAGTGATCAAAGAATGTTTTATTTGTGTTGATTTTTCTCTCCATAGATTTCTTCAAGTACATCCCATTCAGGGGCTTCCGATTTAACGAAACAGTGTGGAACATCAGCATTATTTCAGCTGGCAGAGGTAATACTAACATACTCATGACTAATTGCCCCAGGAGCAGTGGGGTGGAGAAGTTAAAGCTACTGATTGCCAAAGCCTGCAAGGCAGAACACTGATACAGCTATAATTGCACCACTGCTTATAGAACCATAAATTACCATGGCTCAGATGCCACAAGTCAAGATTTCCCCAGATTAGCCATCAATTTAGAGATTTCTAAGAGTCTGTAGCTGAGAAGTACTATCAGTTCCTGGTGGCAAAGGGACTTGGTTGCAACTGAACTTGATTCAGTTTCTTAGTTTAGGCTTTGAAGTCTTAGGGCTTAGCTGAGGAACACAAATAGTTGAGAGAGAGGACTGGATGACTGTGTTATAAAATTCAGACATTGCCATTACAAATTCATGGTAATGGCTATGAGCTTCTTTCATTTATTTTTGCTTTTCATGCCCATTTTATTTTTCAGGAGAACTAACAGGTTCTTACATCTCCTAACTTACATAGGAGTTCTGCTGTGGTACTGTCAGCAGATCTTCCTTCTGGGAGCAGTTAAAACCAATGGCACTTTATTGAAATTTTGCCTTTTTTTGTTTCTAAATAATCTTTTTAAGCTTTCCCAATCTTTTGAAGATTGTTTAATTAGAAGTTTATTTGCTGACAAGACAGAATTCACTTCTTTTGTAGCCATGTCTGTAGCTCTGTACTACTGGCTACTGCAGAAGAAGCAAATGTATAAAAGGAAAAAATCCATTGGCTGTGCGATGTATGTTGAATTGACAAAACAGTCTTAGTTCAGCGAGCTCCATCTTAAAGATTGAACTTTAGCTTTTGAGAATCACAGGCTGTGCTTAACATTGCAGTGTAGTAAAAAAGTCACAGAACTACCTTTGTACCAAGAGTCCCCATCAGCACAGTTGTGGAGTTCTCCTTTGCCTAGTCTAACCTGCTTCCCAATAGATCCTGTGTGTTGCCCAAGCTCTGGTGCTTTACAGTGCTCAGCTCAGCTTGTCCTGAACCAGATCAGTATTTTCTACCTTGTGCAGCAAGAATTTTGGAAACCTGCTGCAAAAACATCCCAATCATTGGTGTTAGGTTCTTACATAAATTGGTATGAGAGACTTTTTAGTTTGCAAGGAAGAAAAGCCTTGCCAATTTGAGAAATCTAAAATGGACCTAAAGAGAACCCATATGTCTCTGAGAGGTACATCCATACTGACCACATGGCCTGTGGGCTAAGCTGCCGGAACCTTCTGATGTCTGGTTCAAAGAAAGCCTCCTCCATCTGGTTTTGCTCCAGGTGACTGGTTGACATTTGTTCTAAAAACAAAACTGCACTGGGAATTCAGCTTGGGGGCTTTGAGAGAGGACAGTAAGAACAAAGCATGTCTTCCCAAGGGCTTTTGGTTGGTGCTGTGAAGGACCACCTTCTGTAGATGTGTCTGCATAGCTTACAGGTGATCCAAAACAGAGAGGATCTCCTAAGTCAGTGCTGCAGGAACATGGCAGTTTGAGGGCCTTCTGACAGTTCTTTTTCTGAATATTGGTGTTCCTCAGATAGTATAAGGATTTTGGTTTCCATTAGTGTTATCTCCAGGAAGAGATAACCATGGCAACCACTGCTGCTTTGCAGTTTTTTGCAAAGTAAGTCTGTGACATGAGAAGAAAGATTTGGAAGGCTTTTGCACTACCTTCCAAATAATTTCTTACATTCAAGTAGAAGAAAATAACCTCAGGGAGATTCAGTAAACATTTTTCCCTTACTCCTTCAAGGCTATTTAGAAAATGGAGAAAGGAATTGTATTAGGGACATTTGAAAGTTGAAGGGGGAATGGATGTGAGATTTCAAGTAGATTGTCTGTGGCAGTAGTCAGAGATAACTCTGTTCTGTTGCATTTCAGATATTCTGAAAACCTGTCTAGCAGTGGATTTCCAGATGATACAAAGAGCTTTAAAGGAAACACCACTGAGATCAGTTGGGAGTCTTTTTTATTAGAGCAATGAACCTACCAGCCTTATTCTAGCACTTAGCCCTCATCCCATTGCATCAGTTTCAGCATGTCTTCAGCCTGTTTTTCAGTACTGTCCTGTAACACAGTTTGCTTTCCTAAACTAAAATGCCAGAGAGATTCCCTGTTAAATACTCCTGTTAGTATAAGTAATGTTAACAGTTGATGTTTGTTTCATGGGACTGTTTTAAAACTTATTTTAGATGTGCCTTGCTTCAGAAGGAGTAAAAGTGAAAGAACCTGGGAAAACAAAAGTGGAAGCACTGGAAGATGAGGAAGGGGAAGTTTCAGAGGACATGGAAGTAGAACTGGAGAAAACAACAGTAAAAGACTCCAGTAATAGAAAAGTAGACCAATCAGAGATAGAAAAATTGCAGAATCCAGATGAAACAAAAGCTGAGGAATCAGAAACTGCAAAATGCAGAGATTTTACTAGTCTTGCAATGGAAAACAGTCCTTTTGAGAGAAAGGATAACACAAAGGATCACATGTGCCGTTCTCCAGAGCTTTTCATGAGTGACATGACTATCCTTGGGCTAAAGCCAGAAAAGATAAAGAAGAAAAAGAAAAAAAATAAGTTGGACCGGCACACAAATGAAAAATCCACCCCCAAAAAATCTTGTAAAAAGAGGCAGTCCTCCGAGTCGGACATTGAAAGTGTCATGTACACAATTGAAGCCGTGGCCAAGGGGGACTGGGGTGCTGAGAGACTTGCGGATACTCCCCGCAAAAAAAACCGCCCTGTCTCAAATGTGAAGGGAAGCATGTTGGATACAAAATCACCAAAGAAAAAAGTGAAATCAAAAGAAAAGAAAACATCAAAGGAGAAACCAATGGAGACCGCCAAAGAATCCAAGCCTCCCGATTTCCTTAGTATTGAAGCCAGCAAGGAAGTACCGTGTGAGGCTCCTGATAACATTAAAGTGGAACCACTGACCCCAACAGAGGAGGTGGTACCCCAAAGCTTACCAGAACAGATCAAAACTGAGGACAGTGACTGTGTTAAAAAGATAGAAACCTGTGGCTCCAGGAAATCGGAGAGATCTTGCAAAGGTGCTCTTTATAAAACTCTGGTGTCAGAGGGCATGCTCACATCTCTGCGCGCTAATGTGGACAGAGGTGGGTGGCTTTGAGTGTTTTGTTTACAGCATGAACTGCAAAAGCCTGCCTGGAGTGGGAGGAAAAACAAAAATCCATGTTTAAGCTGGAGTTTGGGCAGTGTGCAGTGGGAATATTGTGTCTGGCCACCTGAGATGCTAGGGACAGGTGGAGTGGCTGGGCTCCCTGTTCCAGGGCAGGTCTTTTGAAGTCCTGCAATCTGTGTTCCTGCTTACCTCACAGACTCCTAACTGCTGTATTTTCGTCTTTAAGTTTTTGGCTGAAGGCTTTGTTGTTTAATTTGTCAGCCTGCTGGTAGATGTGTGCAGGACTTGTGATGTATGTAACCCCAAACCATTACCTTGTTTCTATATAAACAACTCCTGTGGTTGTGAGCATAGTTCTCAATCCTGCAAGAAGCAAATGTGTTCTGGTTTTGCTTTGGTTGTTAGATTTGCTGTAGGCTGTAAGTGAGAACCCTTTATCCTGTGGAAGGACAAATTTGAGATAATATCTGGAAGCTTTCAGTGAAATGTCTGGAAGTAGACATTATATGTGGTAGATTTATATGTGTAATTAGAACAGTCAGAAAAGAAAAAAGTAGTTTGTAATTTAGGGAAGCTTATTACTGTATATCTCTTCATCTCTTCCTTCTTTATACCTTAAGAGATCCTGACTTTTGAGATAGTCCAGGAAAAGACAGGAGAGGGGATGCAGAATAGTTGTCAATATCATCATTGCCCAGTTTAAAATGAAAAATGTTTTGTGACTGCCTTAGAGAAGGTCAGCCTTCATAAGTTGCTGTACTGCTGGGGTACACAAGTTTCTTTTGCATTTACTTTGTTTTGGAACATTTTTCTAAAGATGAGAAACAATTGTCTGCCTTCATCACAGGAAAAAGAAGCTCAGGAAAAGGTAACTCCTCTGATCATGAAGGATGCTGGAATGAAGAAATCTGGGCCTTTTCCCCAAGTGGGACAAGTGGGAACAAAAAGCTGAAAAAGACTAAGCCAAAGGAAGAGTTTGTTTTTGGGTAAGTTGTGGCTTAACACTGATGTTTTAGTTAGGTCAGCCTAATAATTTAAGACTGAGTCCTCCTCACTGCAGCTAAGTGACCTGCATCTAACACATAAATAATCACAATTCCAAAAATGAAAAACCCTGTGGAACTGAGTCATGCTCTAAATACCTGTCGTTTATATAGCAAAGTAATTCCTTTGAGATCTTTCCAGGTTTACACCACTGTAAGTGAATTTGAATGGTGTTATTTGCTCAGTTCTAAAGAAACCACACAATATTTACCTGCTCAAAAAGTAGTGAAGAGGGTTACTTAGATTTTCAGAGTACTTTGCAAGCACTATTTAAAGTTCTGTGTAGGTGTTCAATCATCATAAACCAGATTAGATTAGAAAGAGTAGGTCTCTTTGCCCACTTGGAGAGATTGCTCACAGAGGAATAGTAAACAATGTTCTTATATTGGCAAATAATTATGGTAAATAATGTCAATTTTCTATTGTAGCGAAAAGATATTTAAACTGTTTATGTCCACCATGATGAAATTAAATATATCTTAGAAACAATTAATGAGTGTAGATGCATTAAAATTTAGCAAGGCTGCACAGAATTACTACTTTTCTAGTATACAAGTAATGATTTTTGTCAGAGTATTACAGATTTATTTAGTTGCAGGGGTAGTAGTTAAATCTGGGCTGCCATTCATGCTTACAAATTCTTGCAGATGAGAAAATGTATTTAAAAGGGAAGATTTTCCATGTTTCATGCTTAAAATTATAATATATTTGGTTTTGCAGGTTTGCAGTACCCTTTTCACAACCTGACATCTAATTGCAGCTCACTTTCAGTAAAAATATTAAATCAGAGGGAATCCCCAAGTCTTGTTTATTGGAATAGTCAAGAAAAAATAGTTAAGAAAAAATGGAACACTTTGTATTTTTAGAGCTTTGTATAAGTTTTGGGAATATTTTCAGTTGAAAGATTGAAAAATTTTCCCACATAATGGTGGGAAAGCTCATCACATCTTGTAGCATAAAAAAAGTAGTTGTAAATTACTTATTCAAAGAGTACTGAGGAAAATTGTCTAAATCATTTATTCAACACTACCCTCATTCGCTGGCTGGATGAGAAAATACGTATTTTCCAATCTCTCATCTTTATTCAGTTGCATCATTAATGAATATTATTTAGTGAACTCTGTAAAGGCAGAATTAAGAATTTGTGAAGCATAAGTGCTGGAGAAGGTATCCAGTATCCCTTTTCATTGCATTACTCAATCTTCTGGCTACTTGAAGAGCTGGTTTTACCTCTGCCTGCTCCACTTAACTCCCTCTGCTCCCTTCAGCATCACATTTCAGCCTCATTTTGTACATGCATTGGTGAAAGGGTCCTCACCCCTTCAGAATGACATAATTTTCATAATTTTCCCTGTGTCCTACCTTCCCCATCAGTAGCTTCCCATATTTCCCTGAATCTGGGTCAGATGTGCTTTCCCCACTCCTTTGCCAAGCAGGGCTCTACCTGCCTGTATCTCCTGGCAGAACTAGGCTGTGCAGCGTGAACACCTCAGCTCAGCTACACATGTCTAACCAGGCTTCTGAGAGGCTCTTAAAATTCATGACGGTGTGGATTATTTTTTATTTCCTTAAATAATTAATCGCTGACATAGAGATAGCAGCACTCCGCATTGCCTGCCTGCGTGTCACACAAGTTATAAATTACTAGCAAGGATGGCAGCTCATCCACTGTCCAATGAGGTTTTGCCTTCCCAATTAGAGCTGCAGCCCCTCATGCCCTCAGGGCAGGAACTGAGGCAGGTGGGAACAAGACAGTGGCAGAGGAGCTGAGTCAGAGCAGAAAATCAGATGGTTTTGTGGTTGTCAGGGAACATCCGTGTGGAAGAGAAAAAGGTAGCAGTACCAAGCACTACTGACGTAAGAGACCTTTGTAATTTAAAACCAAAATAAAACACATGTACACAAACAAACAAATCCCACCATGCACCTGGTCTGCAAAGAGCCAAGGCTGTATTTTAAGATGGAAAATTGCTTCCTGAGAAAAGTAATGATTACAGACAAAAAATGAAGTATCTTCATGTGTACCAAAACTTTCAGAATGCAATTTGTTTGAAGTGCTGCTTCAGAAAGTGCAGAGAAGTACCATGTTTCTTATGATACTTCAAGTGTATAAAGGGCCCTCCTTCCAACAGTCATGCCAACTTCTGTCAAGATGAGGTTTTTCATAGCAAAGAGAATTAAAAACAAGTGGAAGATGTCATTGTTCCTCTATCATTGACAGTGCTATTTATAACCTGCCTGTGTGCTTGCCTTTTACTAAAACACAATTTCTACCTCTGGCTGGCTGCAAAAACTTGCAGGAACAGAGTGCTTATGCAAGCCAGTGTAGTCATAACAGCTGGAAATGCTGTGCCATCCTCTTTTGAGTGCTTTGTTTTCTTCTGGCTGTTAGGAACAATCATACCTTGTCAGTGGATTTCTTGAGTTGCAGTTAATCTGCTGACAGTCATTCAGGTTAGGCTGCAGTATGAGGCGTGTTGGCTTTCATGAAAGCATAAGCTAGTAGCATTTTTCATGTCACAGCAAATGAAATACAAGGGGAGAAGATCTAATCACCCAGAACAAATATAAAACTAATTCCCATCCCAATGCTTCATGTTTCAGAATATCCACAGAAGATTGATTAGTTTGACATTCTTCTTCTGGTTTGAAATGCTGTTTTCATTCTGGTGTAAGAACTTTTATGTGAAGTTATTTTATTGGTTTATTTATTGGTTTTACTGTATTTGTTCATTCCCTTCACAGAACAGACAAATCTCTTGTACAAATCTGTGCAGCAAACAGAGCTAAATGTCACCAGTATGACATTGATTATTTTTTTTCTAATTTTAACATATGCTACTAAGGTAATCAATTTGCACTGTTACAAATGCAGAAGCAGAAATGTACATTCTCATTCCAAAGCTGGATTAATATATACTAGTTTGGTGTTTACAGTGTTTGAATTTACCTGATTTTCCCCTCTCTCTGTGTAGAAAAGTGTGTGTGTATACACAGACATGCTCTTAAACAATATATTTTTTTCTCCAGAAAGAGTTACATTTAATTTGAATGGTTTTGTTTCCCATTTAGCTTAGCAAAATTGGAAGAAGAATTTGCAAAGAAATTCAACAGCCTTCCTCAATACAGTCCTATTACCTTTGACAGGAAAAATTCATCTGTTTCGAGGAAAAAGCGAAAGATTGGAAGCGGCTCATGTGAACTACCAAAATCCAACAAAGGTAAGTTGCCAAGTGCAGGAAGTTCTTAAACAATGGCAGTACTGTAAAAAGCTCAGGAATTTATACATTCTTACTTCACTGTTACCTGTGGAAGTCTGAAGTTGAAGAATTACCTAGCACTGAAGTTGGTTGGTTCTCATCTGGTTTAGTTTTCAGGCTGATTGTTTTCAGTCTTGATTCCTGGTTTTCATGATAAGTAGAACTGGGTAGAGTTTGTACACTAAATGTATTTCTCGTAGCAAGAAAAGTTTTCAAAAACATGAGTATTTGTGAGGTAAGTGAATTTGACAAGTTTTACCAGGAGAAAATGGGGGGAAAAGGGCATATGATCAAAGGTTACATTTTCTAAGCTTAGTTTTAATTTCACTGTAATTTTAGTGTCTGTAAATTAAAACATAAGATATCAGAGATGTTTGAATGAAACATCTGGAATTTTTCTTCTGTCAAGATTATAGTTCTGTCATAAGCTTTGAGCAAAAATGTCCTGATGTGATTAAAAAAAAGTTAGAGGACATGAAAACCAATTCCATACCCAGCTCCATTACCATACCATACTCAGCTCCATTGCTGAGGCTCATGGAGGGAGAAACTCATGACACACTTGGCTATTTTTTTAATACAGGAAACTCATGACACAGAGGTGGTAGAGAAGTGACAATGTGGTAGGGTAAAACTAGTTTTATACTGTGGCAGAAATACTGATGCAAATATACAGTATAGAAGCATCACAAAATGAAGGAATTATATACCCGTAATTCCACAAGACAAAAGGATGCTCAAAAGGATCCTCATCAGGCACAGTTTGCAATGTGAAGTTGGTTTTCTTTTCTGCAACAATGGTAGTTCCACTGAGTGACAGGTTTTAAGATCTAATACGGCTGTTTTAGCCAGGTGACCCTGGATTAGATCTGTGCCTTTTGAATGCTTCACAAATAATCACATTACAGTGTGCAGGATTGAACAGCTGTTCTTTTCTAGTGCATGCCAGTTTTGGTATTGATTTTTGTAATTAGATGTGGAACAGCCACTTTGCAAAATTAGACTTGTGCTAATACCAAGCTAGATCTGACTTCAGCTGCCTTTAATTTTGTTTTATGGTATGTATTTGACAGAACTTCTTAAATGAGCATGAATTAATTACTTTACAGCATGACAACACACTGGTAATTAAGCAACATCTGTTGGGAAGAAAACCTCCTCAACTACAGTGATCTAGTAATTGAAGTTGTAGTAGCAGCTCACTGGATTTCTCACTACAGTATTTACCTGTTCAGGTGTCTGTATATTTAAAAATTCTGCAGGCCCTGTGTTGTTTGGGAATGGTGAGCTAGAATTCTGCCTCAAGCCAGATAGCCAGAACTGCATTCTGCTTTTGGGTAGGCTCATACCCAAAGGAGAGTTTAGTTTTTATCTTTGTTAGCATCGCTTAAAGAGCTTTGGAATATATTTGGCTTTGTCTCAAGGGAAGGTCAAAAACATAACTGCAGGCTGGTTACAAGCCTGATATGAGTAGCTTTGGCACAGCCCTGCAGAGACAGTCATGGAGCATTTGCCTCTGGCTGACAGTAAGGGCTCTTTAAATTAAGCCAGCTGACTTTGCACTGAGCAGATGGTAAACAATCACATGAACTTTCCACCAACTGAGCTGTGGGGTTGCAACAAGCAGCCCCAGGCAGGAATATTGGATAGTAACACTGCTCCTTCTGTAGTGAACATCTAACCACAGCCCCAAACTTAAATCCAGACAGAGCTAGTGATACCTGCTCCTAATTCCAGTGAATGTTAAATTCACACACTTAAGCTGGGCAACCTGATGGTTTTGTGGCAGTCATTCAACTCCCTGAAAAGCAAGATTCAGTCAGTTCTCAAGAGGTAGTTGAATAACTTTCCAGCAAACCATTTTTCTTCTGAAAGAGAGGGATTGCTAAAAAGTAAATATTTGATGGCAGTAGGTTAATTTTAAATGTGTTTTATTTTCTTAGGATGTGAGTTGAGGATTTGAAATTATCTGACCTAAAAGTGCATATAGGCGAGCTTACTAGTTTAGTAAGTTCGGTTTGTTCCTGTTGAGTCAAAGATTTATTAAACTGAATACTCAATTTAATTTGTGATGTACTGACAGTCTATTGAGCCTCATTGTGCTGTTGTCTGGTGAAATGTGATGAATATAAAGACTCTTAGAGAATCCTGGTCTCCAAAAGTATAGCGCAAGCAGATCTGTGTGCTAGGCTACTACAAGTACTGCAGGAAGTGAAACTGGCATATCATGCAAAATAATAGAGCTTGGTTTGGTGTGGTTATGGGTCTTCTAATTGTCTTGCTTTTTTACACCATTAGAATTAAACAAAAGTAACATTTTTATGCAATGAGCATGAACCATGAAGGGTCAATATAATCTTATGAGTGTGACTGTGTGTGGATGTGGGAGACCTTAGCTTTGCACTGCCCTGCATTACTGTGTTGTCTGGAGCTGTTTCAGCTGTGAGGCCTTACCTTGGGCATGTCTCTGCCAGATAATTAGAAGAGTTGAACAGCAAAAATAGTGTCTACAAGTGTTTTCAGCCTCTGGATGTTTCCAAATAACAGATAAAAATCAGTAGGGATATGTTTAGGTACACACTCCTTGAGATATGATATGCTGCTTTTTCTGAAGGAATGTGTGCAGATCATAAACTATCTACTCATTTTCACTCTGCACAGGTAACTACTTAATTTTTTTAAGTCTACGGTGTCTACTGAATATGTAAAATTTAGAAAATATGTTGGAGTGCTGCACTATAAGCCTTCCTCAGAATGTTGGGTGAATAAAAACAGAAATGTTTTTGTCTGTTGGGTTTGGGGTGTTTCTCTGCACCCCACTCCCAAATGTAACTGGATGCTTTAACTTTTATTTTGTGCTGGATTGATTCTCCGTCAAATGTCATTAGCCTATACCTACAATAGGCGTGATCTGCTACTTAACCAGACAGCCAGATTTGTCAGGATGTTTTCCTGCTCTGGAAAATCAGTAGGGCAGTGCCCACTCTGTTGTGCTTGTCATTTCCAGTCCTCATTTCATCCAGTTCTTTCACATAAAAACACCTGAGGAATCCTGTAACATGAAAGCTGTTTCACATCCACATGAATGAAGGAAAATTTGAACCTTTTCTTGAATGAGAGGCACTTTTTTTCCCCAGAGTTACCAAATTGTCTAAATTCTGCTCCCACTGGGCAGAATTCAGACTGGGGGTCTTTCTTCAATGGGAATAGGACTGAACAAGCTATAAAGCTTTGCTAAAATCCACATCAAGTGTTCTGAACTGAGAATGTGCACATACAATAACAATGCCACAAAATGGCTGAAGAATACAGCTATACTCAATCTGTGCAGATGGCCTGCTCTGACATTTACTGGAGCTTTGACTGTTTCTTTTTTTTTTTCCTTCTTTCCAATGGCATATGTGCCAAAACATCCCACCATGCAGAAGTCAGCTGTCTGCAGTGAGTCACTAATATGCTTGTATGCAAAAGTGAGCAACAGGCAGAGTCATTATTTCTGCTTTGTACTTTGAAAAAATGCTCACTTATACACTACGCATTGCACTAAAGCTTTCATTTTGGGAAGGCAAAGAGGGGAATGCACAGTGTGCTTTTATTTGGGGAAGAGATTGTCTACTTTTTTTTTTTTTTTGGCTTTTTTGTCTGTGGCCTCTAGGACTAGAAATAAAACATCAGCTTAAAACGGATGCTGCTTTGTGGCATTCCTCTTGGTCTTAGCTCTGGGGTTTTTTTTGGCTTGGTTCAAAGCATTCAGATGCTTGGAGATTTTGTGCTGTAATGTTCCAAGGATCATGACCTAAAAATACAGTGCCTTCCATTGAGAGATGCAGAAATGCCCAAACTGTTTGTCCTGATTTTGTTAGGATCTTATTGAAATGTTCTCTATTTGATCAGATCCGTTAAAACAGGGAACTTTATGAGAGCAAAGGGGGGCTATGCCCAGAAACTGGGAGGAAGTGCAGTTATGGTTCATTTTCTTGCCTGCTGCTTCCCCAGGCAGCTGCCACTGGCCATAACAAGTATTCCCAGGAAGAATCCCCACTGCCCTCAGTGAGCTCTGTGGACAAGCCAGGGATTAAATCCTGTGGCAATTTCTGAAGTGCTAGGGAGAGAAATAACCATATAGAACATTTCCAACAGAGCAAGATTAGTAGATGGCTGTACAACAATGTCAACTAAACTAAAATGGAAAGGTTTTTTTCAGCTTTCTGTAGCAAGGCACATCTAGGGTACATTGCCTAACAGCAAGACTTTTAGGTTAGTTTTTTCAGTCATGGGTTTTCTCTGGATTGAATGTTCACAAGTGGCATTTGTTCAAAGTCTTGGAATACTTGCCTGTTGTCCCCATGAAACAGGTGTAGCCCAGCCAGGCATTCTGTCAACTCCAGCATGGTGAGTGTTAAGGCAAAGGGTGTGGATGAAGTTTCTTGTGGAGTCAGATTTACATTGTTAAGTCCAAGTATGAACTGTTACTTATTTAGCTATTAGCCAGTCTTCTCTTTCAATGCATTTATGGCCAAAGGGTATTCTAAGTGTCACTGGGCACTGTCTCACTGTCACTGGGCATGAGTTCACATGAGTTAAAAGGGAAGGAAATAGAAGGTTTCCTTACTGAAGGGCATATTTTCTTTTGTCTCTACTAAATTCCTTGGATTTTCCATATGGGAAAATGGCATTTTGCAGATACAGGCTGATGACAAAGGTGCCTTTGATGTGGGGAAAAAAAGAGATAAAAGACACAGGTTTCTCCCTGTGTGCAGTGCTTGTCATCTTCTGAGTTTTTCATCTCAGTTATTCTGCTTGGAGTTGCTGACACTGGCTCACTGTCTGTCATAGTGATTGAAGTGGTTTGTATGGTGCAGGTTGAGCTGTAGAAATTGAGACATGGGTGATATGTAATGTACTGCTTCTTCCAAGCACCTGAAAAAAATCACTAATCAGCTAAGTAAAGAATAATAATAACAGAAATGTCACAAGAATCATGTAGCTACATACCTCTGTCTTCTTGTGGAACTGGTGGAAAGACTTGTTTCTGTTGATGTGGATGAAGTATCTGAGCTTGGTATCAAGAAAAGTTTAGTTCTTTCACTTGAGCTTTTGCTCGAGCTCTCCGAGCTTTTTCATTCCTTGGTTTACGTTTTTGTTGCTCTGACACTAGACTAGTCCTCTGCGATACTCAGGAAACTGTTGTAAAATTTGCAGAGCAACACTTGAGTAAGTTTGAGTGAATATGGCCTCCTCTATTGTACTCTCAAGTGTTTCCTATACAGGTTCTAGTAAAGCTGTTCACATTCAAGGTGATGTTGCCCAAGATGATCTCTTGCTTGGACTTTATTTGGTTTGTTGTTTGGCTTCTAGGTTTTTGGAAGTTTATTAATCTTTCTCCAGAGTTTTGATTTCTTCCATATTGAAAAAGTAGCAGTGAGCCACAAATCCAAGAAGGGCAAGATGCTAAAGTTTCTATGCCTGCCTCTGTCTGGATTTTAGCTTTCTCTCAGTAATTTTCAGTATTGATCAATGTTCTGGTTTGAAAACAAAACCAGTGAGAGACTAAATTGGAAACACAATTTATTAGGAAAAAGGAAAAGGAAAACCATAATACATGCAATAATAGAAAAGAAAAAAAACACTGACAAAGTCAGAATAGAACCTGACACCCTGTTGGTCAGGGTGTTGGTAGCAGTCCAGTTGGATTGGTAGCTGCAGTCCTCCTGGAGTGGCAGATGTGGTTCTGCTGGAGCAGTGATCCTGTAGAAAGGATGTTGTCTTCCTCTGAAGATCCAGTGGAAAAGACAGCTGTTCTTCTGGGAATCCAGTGGACTGACTGCTCTGTCCCAAACTCCAGATTATATCCAGGTGGGGATGCTTAGCTCTTCCCCCCTGGGTGGAGCATCTCACCATAGGCTGAAATTGTTCTGTGAGTCATGTGGTGGGTCCATTAAACAGAAATGGATCCTGGAGGGAGTTATCTCTGAGTCATGTGGAAAGGCATTGATGGGCCCATTAACAGGAGATAAGAAAAAACAACGCTTCTCCTGATTTCAACAGCTTTTGAGTATGGGAAGAGAATACATCTTTATATTGTAACCTAGGGCAATGAGACAGCCTAGTGTCTATGAATGGCTTTCACTTCATAAGACTAAATACTTCTTCCATGTGCTACACACTTTACTCTTTTTTTTTTCTTTGCATATGGAGTCTGAGATGGCAAATTGCAGATGTATAAGTAGATTTACCCTGATTGCACATTTCCTGTATGGTTGCAGTTGTGTCCCAGTAGCCAGTGTCTGTGTCTGGTTACTTTTAAGGATGAGGAGGTGTGGAAAAGGCCAGTATTTGTGGTGGGAAGAATTTTGTTACAAGTGAGATAGAGATGGGAGGGACACTTGCTTGTTAGGCTATAAATCATGTCACGTGCATAGCATCTCATTTCTGTCTGGTTGGTCTGTTCTGAACTAATCTGAAGAATTGCTTGTCCACTGTGTCTTTGGAAATAAGATTTTGAAGTTCAGTTCCTGTAAACTCTCTAATATTTGCTTTGCATTGTGGAGATCATGCATCTCTTATGCCTATGTTGTTGTAATATCACTGACTGCTCCCCTAATGAGGCAAAGGCTGACTTCTTGATGACATCTGATAGTGGCATATTTTGTGGTCCAGTGTCACACAAGATGTCTTCTGACTGCTCCTAGTAAAGACTCCATGGACAAAATAGGAATGATACCATGAGCTGGACTTAACCTCACCTTCCTCCTCTGGTGGTTTTAACTTTTGCACTTAGTATATCTCATTTCTGGTCACCAGTGGGCAGTTGTAGCTCTTGCATTCTGTGGTGGGTTGGTCCTGACTGGTAAGTACGTTTCCACCCTGTTGCTCCCTCCTACAGTGGGATATGGAAGGTAATAGGAAGGGCAAAAACAAGGAAAAATACTTCCTGGGTGTAGTAGTTTTGCAAAACTTACACTGGATCAAGAAGAAGACAGTTTCATAAGTTGGAGGGAGGAAACAAGTAATGCCAAAGCCAGCACTCACTACTAGCAAACTGATGTCCAGCCAATACCTGAGCAGTGGACAACTTTAAAAAACACTTTCCCCAGCACAGTTTTGTGCTGAGCATGGTGCAAAATGCCTCTTGGCCCATGTGGGTCAGCTGTCCCAGCTATGTCCCCTCCCAGCCTCTTGAGCACCCTCAGCCTACTTCCTGGGATGCCAGAATGAGAGAGATCGTGATGATCTGTAAACACTGCTCAGCATAACTAAACCATGCATGTGTTTCCAGCGCTGTTAAGTTTGCTCCCTGCCAGCCAAGCCCAGTATAGGTGCAAAAGAGAGTATATCCCTGTTTTATTGTATGGCTAGGTTTTCCTAAGGGTCTCATTCCCCAAAATGTATTGTATGCACTTAAACATGGGGAGGTGGTGGATTGAACTACAGCTTGCTGAAAGCCTCCACAGTCCCTCCAGGCAGAAGGTCAGGTTTTGTGTTTCCCTGTCAAATGGCAACTTGTGTTATAGGAAGGGGAGGTTGTGCAGTACATAGTGTGACTGTTGTACTCTTTTTCAAGCTTCTGATTAAAAGTATGTATTATTAATGTTGTCTGTAGGTTCATTCCAGTCTCAGAAAAAGAACTTATTCCACAAAATTGTCAGCAAATTTAAGCACAGAAAGAAGCTTAATGTTCCGGACACAGGTACTGGTGCATTGCTTAATTAAGGTTTTCGGCTTCCTTCTTTCTCAATTCAGTCTTGGGGAAATGCTTCTAGGCAGAGACGCCTCAGCTATCTAGTCTTTGACTGCTTTGGTTCCTTATTTTCCCTGTCTTCTGTGATTCCATTGCCTTCTGGCTCCAGTTGATATTACTTTACTCCAATATGATGCTGTTTTGTTTTTACTTGGCATTTCCCTTTAATTACAGTTTCCCTGTTCCAGATGCCATGCAGCAGAGCTGACAAAGCAAGGGCAGTTCTGCAGTAGGCCCCGAAAACTTTTATTTTCTACAGCTCACAGCTCTGTAGTCCTTAGGTTGCTCTTATCTGCATTCTTCTGTATCAGTAACCATATTATTTTGCCAGAGCATTTTTGCATGTCCTTATCTACTATTCCTGTGATTTCTTGCTGTCTGGAACTTTGCAGACTGCAGCTGATCAAGGTGCAAGAGCCTGGTCAGGGTGTAAGGCGCTTGTTTCTGCACCAGATCTCAGAAATACCAGCATCCAACCCTGCCTCTGTAGAAATCTTAAACCGGCTTTCTGTTTGCTTCATACTGAAAATACCTTCTGCAGTTTTTTAAGTTATGTTCTGGACCTTGTCTGCCTGCTATCTCTAAAATATTTTTCTTGTTACAGTACCATAATCCTGCACACTAGGAACTCACAACTCTGGAGAGGCATTTTTGAGTGTGCTGTATGTACAGGATTATAGCTTAGCCTGCTTCCCTGGGCGCTTTTTCTTTTATCATCATGTTGCCCACACTATTAAAGTCATGCCCAGTCTGTTCCTCTGTTCCACAGTGGTGTTCTCTCCTGCATTGTTCCTGTAATGTAGGAAAAACCTCTCTAGTTCTGCTTACTTAACTCCATTAATTTTGTCTGGTTTCTTCCCCACCCGTGTTCATCGCTAAGATAACAAAATTATTGTTCCCATCTCCAGTTTCCCCAGCTACCTTAATGGTTAATATCTTTTCCTGATACTTGGCCATGTAATTTCCTCTCCTTTCCTGGTGCTGTTTTCTGTCATCTTTGTTGCACATATGCTATTTTCCCACATAGGCTCTGCCTGCTCTTCTGCATTCCATAGTACAAATAATTGGAAATTACTTGCTCTGTCTTGTTGTATTTGTACAACGAATATGTTGTGGCAATTGGAAATTACTTGCTCTGTCTTGTTGTATTTGTACAACGAATATGTTGTGGCAGTTGCTTATGAGAAGTAACTATCTTGCTTCCATGTTGGTGTAAAAAAGGCATCATACATTAGCATAATTTTTATTTGGCGTCATTCACATTTTGTTCCTGAATTATTAATAGACTAATTATGGAGAAATAAACAAATTATTAAGAAAAATGGGTGTTTAAATTCTCCTAGTGGTAAAGAAACAGGAAGCATTTAATAGATGATAAAGAGTAAAAAGTATAAATACCTTAAAATTTGCAGATAAAAATGTGAGTAAACAAAATGTCAAACGATGCATTTGTTTAAAAGAAGCCAGCCTGTTTTGATACAAAGTGAAGTGTGCACTATGATCAAAGATTCAACCCTGGCAAGTGTTGAGTACCCTGGCCTCATTCCAGCACAGCACAGAGGCATGTCCTTGGAAGTTAAGCATGTGAATAATGTCATAGTTTCTAAACATTAAAGATGTGTCTGTGCATTTGCTGGGGCACAGCCAGCTTGCTAAGTTCCTCCCAAGACTAAAGCAAAGACATGAACTTAGGAGCCTTACACAGCCCACATATAATCATCAGAGGAAGGGCAATGGATGTCTGTATATTGATGGGGAACTGCACTTTCCCCTGAATTACAGAGGGGAGAAAATTTGGAGTCTTGCCTACTCTGAAATGTACTGTTAGTGACTGAAACCAAAATGTTGATCAGCAAAGAGCAGTATGGGCATGGCCTCAGCAAGTGCTGGACAGCCTCTCCCTCATATGCTGCCTACAGATCTTCATCCTCTGTCCAGGAGTTCCTAGGCAACAGGCCCTTACTGTGTGGCTGAGCTGTCTCATGTTCTGCAACATTCAATATGGGAATCCCAGAATCTTCATTTCAATTCAGATAATATTTATTTTAACATTTTGTGAATCAAACAATAAATGAAAACTTTCACTCCATTCTGTGGTTAGTCTGTACTTGTGGTGTGTCACAAGTCTAACTAATGTGCGGTTTTGGTTTTTATGAAGTTAATTTTGCAGAAAGAAGGAGCTTTAATGTTTGTATAGCTGCAGAGGAGACACTTGGAAGGATTGCTGTCAGCAGAGGTCATGCTGGCTTCATGTTTTTTCGTCTTGAAAGGTGTGTGTGCCTGTCTGCATCTGTTAGGAATGAAGGAAAGTAAGTGCAGTAGAGGCAGATTTAATGTGATTGTGCCGTGTTGTCCGTGTGTCTCTGGTATGAAAATCTGAGTGAATTTTGACCACACTGTACACAGCAGCACCAGTGCATGTCACCATGTTAAGAGTTTGCAGCTGTTCACAGAGCAGGGTACAGCCCAGTTAAACCCCAGTGAAATGCTACAGAGAGCGCAGAATAATGCAGTTTAGTATGTCAATAGATACATCTCTTCCTTAGGAAGGCTGACAGAAGCACAGCTGGACCCATGCCTGTTTGGGAAAGTTAACACTCATCTGGGAGTTTTATTTTTCTGCCACACCAGAAAGGCTTTCTGATGGGATGCAGTACTTGAAGTAGCAAGTCACAGTGATTGCTTCTTTGCAGGTACACTTAGTGAGCTGTGCTGAGGCTCTTGCTGGTCTGTACAGCAGCCAGCTGTAGCGTGGCCGCAGGAAGAGGAGAAGAGAGGATGAACACATGCACTGGTCTCAACACCGGCTCACACGTGAAGCATCCCTATCGCTGTGCCTGTTCCTACAGCAGCTTTCCCACACACATCAGAGCCCTGTTTTGTGGCACTTGCACCCCAGAGGGAACCAGTAACTCTGTGCCCTTGGCAACCATTCTGGTGGAGGAGGGCTGGATCAGAACAGGCTCCTGCAGCAGAACTTCCTGCCCAGACCACTGTCTCTTACACCTGGTTTAACCATCTGCTGCTTTGTATCTCTGCTTGTTAGTCCCCAACCTTGCTGCATCTCTATGTGCTGCCTGGCCCCAAAGCAGTATTGTAGCAGTTTCCTATTGTCAGAAGAGCTGGAATTTCTGCCAGGTCAGTCTGGCATCACTTCCTTGGTAAAGTGGTTCTGTAGACAGTGATTACTTGAGTGGTGCTCTGTCTGGCTAGATTTTCACTGTTTATCTTCATAAAGACAGTTAAATCTTTTAAGCCCACCTTTCTTCCTTGATGCCAGCATGCTTAGACCCACAAAGAGTTTGTTCTCCACTAAGTGTGGTTAAACTTCTGCAGCTCTCTCTCATAACAGGCATCACTAAAGAAATTCTGTAAATTCTGTGTTTTCTTGGGGCTTGGTCTTAAAAGCTCATCTGAAAAGCTGTGGTATGGTGAGTCTGTTCAATTGACTTTGTTTTTCTTGCTGACAAAGATAGGGGGGAAATAAGACTACGTGTCCTCTACATGCCTGCAGAATGGGATAAACTGTCCGTGCAGACCTTTAACAAACCTAGCTGAGGAGACCATCTGGCATTGACCTCTGGATATGTCTCTCTCAGAGTCATTTCTGCCACCGTGATGTAGGCATGCCTGGAGGCCCACACCTTCATGGCATATTCTCAACTCTGCTTGCAAAGATAGCCTGGTAGTTCTGCCCATGCCACTGTCATGAAAACATGTTGGCAGGACCGCTCAGTAACTAGAGAACCTCATTTCATGTCTAGACAATGTTCCCCTGAAAATTAGCTGAGTTCCTCTTGGGACAGCTCTTGAATGCAGGACAGTGTGGAAGCAGAATGGATATCAAATGGATTAAAGAAAACTACAGGGAATTAAACCTGGCTAGTCCTATCCTTCCTGCAGAACAAAGTCGGGTCCTGATTTGGAGCTTCTGCATGGATATACCTTTGTCACTTGAAGCAGTGGGATGCTGTTCCTCTTGAAGGAGGTGCAGGAGCGCATAGTTTAGATATAGAGTTGTTGAAACATGGACTCCTTTCTCCTCTAGAGGTCAGCACAAAGGGTCTTGCCACTCAAGCCTTTGTGTGATCTCCTAGTCAGGTTTTATGTCTACTTGAATAATACTCTGTAAAGAAGTCAGTGAAATGATTTCTAAACCCAGTGTCCACTAAGACTGCTAGAGAAGAGGAAAAGATGCTCTTCCCTTCAACAGTAACCCTGCACCCACACACACAAAATATCACTGTTCACCTTCAATCCTTCCTTCTTCAGGACTGTATGGCAGCAATGTTATGTTGAAGTGATAAAGAGCTTTTTTTAGAGCTAGAGGAAAAGAGGAAAGTAGATGGCTTTCAAGTCTTATTTCAAGGATTAAAATAAAAACCTGGGAGAGGGAATATAAAACAATATAAAAACATGGAGAGGGAATGTACTCACTGCATCTGAGCTTTTACAGCCACCTGCTGTTTTCTGCTGTTTCTTAGTCAAACATGCTAACATCATATGCTCCTTATGTCTTCCACTATTGCCTATTTTACCTTTCAAGGTTTTTTTTCTCTTTATTTTTTTGACACATACAATATGAGAAAGAAAAATATAAAAGGGAACCTCAGCTGTAGTGATCAATCAAGTTAATTTCTAGTGACCTGACATGCAACACATCTAATTAAATGCATACCAAACAAGTCTCTTTTAATCGTATGTTGTTCATTGTTTGAAATCATGTCTTAATGTTTTTATTAAATGTAAAAAAAATAAAATAGTGGCTTGTAGTACTAAGATTAAAAGCATTATAAACTCAATCAAGCTAGAAGTAGACAGCAGTGTCAAAATGCTAATTAGAGCAAATCAGAATTAACAGATAGTGTTGGACTACAACCAGACCATTACATTAAAATATAATCAACACTTATGAATTCCCAAATAAGAAATCTGGAGAGAAAGCTGCCTATTTAATTATACATTGCAATTAACATCCTGGTCTCGATGCACAAAGCTTATCTGAACATCTCACTGTTGGCCCAGCTGAGTTACTTGAAAGTCACATTTGCAGTCATTGGTGCTTCTACTTAATTGGACTGTTACAGACTGGATCTTTTCCTGTGCTTTCTCTTGAGCACTCTCTGCAAAAAAATCAGTTTTATGGCAAAGCTATGCTCTGGAGAGATTGGCAGCTAGAGCTAAGCACTTCAAAATGCTAATAAAAACTGTGTGCTTTTTTTCCAAGTAAACAACATGCACAAGTTCAAAAATATTTTACAGGAGAACACAGGTGAATTAAAATCATCAACAAATTAAAGTTTGGAAAATTTCAAATGTCTATGCATGTATGTACTAGATCTGATTGGATTCTTAGACAATGAAACATTAAAAGGTCCTTCCCATTCAAACAGAAGAGCAAAGGGTAACTGCTAACAAGATGAAGTGTGTTACAGCTATTCTCTTCATCGAGTCCACATTCTCACACAATGAACAGTTTAAAAAGCCAGCAAAATATAAAGGTGTTATTAGCTATATCTTTGAATAGAAAGTTCATTAAATCTACAAAACTAACAATAAACAGTTTCAAACTAATGTGAAAGGCAAAGACCATGCAGACTTAGGCCAACAGTTAGGCTTTTGTGCATAGTTTGTGGGGCTGGATGCTCCTGTGTGACACCACCAGTCTCAGTGCAGGAGATTGGAATTGTTCAGTTCTTAGCCCTTCTTAAAGAGCACTTGTTTGCACTCTGGCTCAGTTCTGTGTGTGTAATTTTTGCTGGTCAAACCACCCAAAAAGTGACAGATGTGTCTTTAAAAAGTCTTTAAAACAGGGAGAAAGATTAAACAAAACTGGAGGGAAGAGTAAGCTAACTGTAGATACAGTAAGAGCTGTAGAAAATATATCAAGGACTGTTGCAAAGAGATGGGGTATAACCTCACAGAGAGTAAAGAAAATAATGAGTTGAAAATGCTGCAGGATGGATGAAGTGCAGGCATTAGGAAAAAATACGTAATCATTCAGGATGGCAATGTACTGGGAAAAAATACCTCAATAACTTGGTGCAGGTATCATGAGTATTCCCAATTTCAAAACAGTTGGACAGGCACCTGTAAAAAATTACCTGAGCATTTGCTACCTGTAGCCTCTTTCTAACCCTGGCTGATAGTGATCACAGATGGGGCAGACTTCATAGCACTTTATCACAGGAGGGAAAAGGATGTCACAGATTGCCTTCATGTACTAGTGATACCCTGTGGAATCAGCAAAATGGTTTATTGAATCAATGCAAATTACACACAGTTGATTACTAGGCACTGAGCTCAGACTTTGGGAGTTTAAATATGTTTTGTAATTGCTATCTGACCAATTTCATTTTGAACAAGATTAAAATAAATTCTTTAGTTGAGTGAAAATTTGGGATCATGTTCCAATTTGAGGTGAAAAGCTACTTCAGAACATCAACACTGGAGCTGCTGAGAAAGATTTAAACTGCTACTTTCTCATTCTCTGAATTTATATGGGCAGTATTTCTGTCATGGTATTCTATTCCATGCTTACTTCCTTTTTTGTAGCATGCATGTCTTCAGCTATGATCCAGTTATGCTTTTTTATTTGCAGCCTTTGGGGTGTTTTTTAAGGCTTGTTTTTTTGTAAAAGGCAGTATTTCCCTTTCTTAGAGGAGTCTATGTAGAGTGACTAAAGAGGTGAGACTAGGTTTTAGTCAGGAATTGCTGAATTCTGCTTGTCAGTCCGTCTGTGAGCTAAGATAAGCTTATGTGAAGACCCTTGTTGTTCCTTAAATACATTTTGTCTCTTAGCTACTTGCTGACATCTTCTGTTGCAAAATGTTTATACAGAGCAATGCCCTGCTCTCACTCCAATGCTGCTGCCAGTCTCACAGTTTTCTTGTCAAATATTAGAAACTTGAACCTTCAGTATTGTCTTTGAGATGGATTCTGTTACTTCACTGCAGACATCTGTGGCATTCAGATCATGTCTTGGCATGGGTTATGCTCTTGAGTACCTATGAGGAACAGTTTTATGCAGATAGATGCAAAATGAGCATAGCTAGTGGTTGAATTATTCTACATCTAAAGTTGCATTTTTATTCTCTTCCAGCCATACTATTAGAAGACAGAAATTCCAGTGAGAGTGCCTGGAAGAATAAAATTTCTATATCTGCCCTAAACACTCCAGAGCCAGCAATGATGCATGAGCCTTTAGTTGGCAGCCAGAAAAGGAAAGCAAGGAAAACTAAGATCACGCATCTTGTCCGAACAGCAGATGGGCGAGTGTCACCAGCAGCAGGGACACTGGGTAAGGAAATTTGAGTTAAAATTTCATTAAAACTGAGTGGTTGGAGAAGGTTTGAGGGTACAAGCAACCTATCAGGGTAGTGGTTTTTAATTAGCTTGTTTTCTTACCTGCTTAGAATGGTCATTATTTAATATACAGCTATCAACCACCTGGGAAATCACTGAGTCCGTAATGGCCAACTTCCTTTATTTGAATGACCAAATTTATCTTTTCTCCCTGGGTATTGCACTCTAAGAACTGTGAACTGATGCAGAGAGAAATGGAGAATGGTTACCTTTCAGAATTTGTTTCCAGTAATGCCAGAGTCCCTGTTGGAGTTCTCCAGTAAGATAATCTTTCAGGACTGCTGTATCTAAAACATACACAAAAGCTCTCTTGCTTGAGCGAAAAGATGACATTCAGTTGAATGCCAAGTCAGTAAACTGCTTCATAAACCTTAGTACTGTGCTTCTGACCCAGTAGCTTGATTCAGAAGAGGTTACAGCATGAATGAGATGACACTGGCAGAATCAAAATCCTAAAGGTTCTGTTAACACCAGACTAGTCAGCATATCAATAGGCTGCACTGGATTTATGGACTATGTCTGCATGCTTAACTTTCTTTCTTTGCAGAGGAGAAGCCAAAAGAGCTGCCACAAAGTACTCTTCAAAAATCATCAAGTGCAGAAGCAGACTGCAACAGTGAATGCTCCAGAAACACGGAGACAGAAGAAAATCATAGTATTACGTCAGATATGCCAGCGGTGTCTGCATTCTTTAGCTTAGCTGCTCTGGCAGAAGTAGCAGCCATGGAAAACGTACATAGGTATGGATTTCTTTTCTTGTTGTCTTAAGTAAATAGTATGTGGCTGACAGCTTGTTCAGAAAGCATGTGAATAGCAGACTGTTTATTTTGGCCTGCATTTCCCCTTCCACAGCTTTCTATGAATGCTTTACCTCACTTGCTTAGTATTATTAAGTCTTCACCTAAATGACAGTGTAATGTTTAGCAGTTGGTAAAATGATCCTTCTCAGTAAGCGTACATACCAATTTTTGTATGTAAACAGGTTCATATGCTCCTTGAGATCCTAATGATTGAGAATTATCAGATGCTATGTGTGAGATAATAGCAGATTTAAATAGCTACTGAATGATGAGTTGCATTTTCCAGGTGCCTAAAACCTAAGATGGTGGAGAAAATTTAATACATTTTGAGATTATTTTTTTTATGCTGATCATGGCTGAGGGAAGCTAACTAGTTATTCTTACTCCTGTGCTTTGCTGTGTAAAAGGCAAAGCATCTGCAAAATTGCATGGGGCAGAACAACTCTGGCTGATGGAAAGCCATGATAGCTTAGGTTGGTCCTCTCAGTTATTGAGTAGGCCGTCCATACAGATCAGGTGGAGAATTACTTACTTATGAATCAGTACAGAATGGTCAGACCTGTGGTGGGAGTAAATCAATTACAGCAGGTCCTCCTTGGCTCTTGATTGTCCAATGTTGTTCTTTCATGGAACTTACTGGATATAAAACTCTGTCCTCTCCTGAAATGAAAACTTGTTGAGGGAGCATTGGGCCAGTTTGAAATCGTCACAGCCTCTGCAGATGCCATTTGACAGATTGCTGGCTGCCTAAGCAACTCCTCAAGGCAGCAGTTCATTAAACTGTTCACAACATCAATTAACTGTTCCTCTCATGGGCCCCAGTGATGAACTCAGTCCTTTGTGTTCTGGCTGCACATCAAATGCTGAAAGTCTTTTTTGAAGCTCAGGAACCCTAAAAGAAATAGATCTGCTCGTTCCTCTCTGCAGAAGGTGTAGTCTTGCTTAAGCAGTGTTGGATGAGAAATTATTTCACACTGCAGTCAGTCTGTCATCATAAGCCACAAAATGGAACTTGTGGAAGTGCTGTGCTAAGCTCTGCTCTCACTCACACCATTGTGGTTTCATTGACTGCCATTAACACTGACCAGAAATGCACAAAAGCAACAAGATTTGCTCCGCTATGGGTTTTCTTCCTTGTGCCTCTTTAAAGTTCTTGTCCTCCTCTTGTCCTTGTTGAAGCAAGCTAATGTTTTGCAGAGCTTTGTGCTTGGGTCTTTCTCTTTGAATCCCATCTTTTGTTGTGTCATTATGTAGCTTGGGCAATGCGGCAACTTTCATAAGGCCTGAAAATAGCAAATGGGCAAATATCCCACAACTGTTGGAAATGTCAGTTGGTAATCATCCTGAGGAATGTGAAATGACAACAGGGGAGGACTCTTCCAGTAGAAAGTTAGCCACGTCTCTCACTGACTTAGCAAATGGAAGTCAAAACAGAGAACTAAATCTTACAGGCTAGATGCTTCTCTGTTTTCTGCTCTGCCAACTGTTGTTACTTTTTGTAACTCTTTATTTGCAAATATCCAGAAATGTGAAGAAAAGAATTGGAGGTTTACTTGATGTGTTTCTTCAGTGTCTGAATGTATTTTTTTTTAATAGTTTCATAGAGCCTTGGGACATGGAGTCCTTCTGGCAGCGTGGTTTTCATTTGAAGTCTTCTGCTTATCTTCATTTACCTTGTGCATGCCCTGGTTAGGCACTGTGAGTCTGAGCTGCATTTTGTGCCAGGGCCACTTCATTGCACTCCCCTTGTGTGAAGCACATGAGTACCTCTGCTGGGGATCTTAGTTTGGCCAGAGTGAGGTAAAGTGTCCCTGGTGGAAATAAGAAGCAGGCCCCAGATTTTCATTGCTACCAATGGCAAATACTGTAACAAAAATAGAACCTCACCTGTGAGAGTAAATAACAGGCAGTGATATGCTTGGTGTATGTATTTTTAAAAGGCAAGCTGCAAAGGAGTTCTCCCAAGTCCATTTGATACCATGACTGATGTTGATTTCCAGCACATAATTCTGGCACAGTTTATTTTTACAATGCCCTGTGCCAAGAGATCATTTTGAAATTAACACTGCTGTAGTAATGAAAGAGATGTGCTAGGCTGATGTAGTCAGGTTATGTGGAGGAATCCCAGTGCAAGTCTGCTGATGAGTATATTTCCATATTGCTTAAAAGCTGTCTGTTGACTCACACTAACATGATCCGTGCCTCTGTGCATTTACCTTCTGCCACACATGCTATCTGCTCTGAGGGCTGCAGCAACTCCCTTACAAAATGAGTCACAGCACTTGTGTGCTCTTAACTTACTCTCATGCTCTGTATTTTGCTTTGTGTAGTCAAATACCATCACATCTGGGTTTTCCTGCCTTCGCATTGTGATGTAGGTTGTCCAGTTGTATGTATTACTGTTGCAGGGACTCCTCTGGAAGCAGGTGTAACCAGAGTATGTGAGCACCTGCAGCAGTGAGGAGTTACCATGCTGCATGTCCGTGTCGGGTGCTGAACCCTGCAACTGCTGCTTCCTGTCTTTTCTGGTCTGATAACAGCACCTCCTGTGCTCTAGGTATTGATGGGTGGCTTTTCTTTTCTTCTTTTGCAGAAGTCAGAGGGCCACACCTCTCCCACATGATGGACAGCCAAATGAAATGTCTCAGACTCCAGTGCTTATTTCCTGCGCTGACCAGTGAAGCTCCACTTTATTGTAAAACATTGTGCTTTACCTAATATCCTAGCCTTGTCTTTACCAAGGGAAGCTAGTCAGTCCATATGATGGAACTAGAGACTGCAATAAAGTGCTTATTGCTCTGAGTGGCCCAGAATTCACTGGAAGCCAGACATTAGCAACTTGGGCCAGGACCTCAAATTGGAACCCAGTATGTAGGAGGGTGATACTGTCTATTAATGAACTGAAATGGAGTGGAATGATCCCAGAGCTTGCTTTCTATTGAAGGCTTTTAAACAGTAAACGGGTGGTTGGTGTGAAAAAGGCTGCCTTTACTGTTAGCTCACACAGCATCTCTTTTACCAACCAGAGAGTACGACAACTAGTTTCATATAATATCTAGTTATTCTAAATGAAAAAGAAAAAAAAAAAAACCCAACAAAAACACTGACGCACTGCACTAGTTACTATTAGATATTCTTAGTCATTTTTGTACATGAAGATTTAAGTTCTAAGATGGTTTATATTAATAGGTTATGCCTACGTTTATATTGTAGAATGAATTTAAAACCTGTTCCAGAGAACTCAAGGCAGCCTGGACAGATGTACCATTGTTAGCGGTGTTTGGGCAGCCACGTGGTCCAGATGTTCTGCACTTTTATATTTGCCACCGGAGTGGTAGAGTTTACTGGGAAAAGTTCTGACAGGCTACGTTTGGGTTTGTTTCTTTTTAATTTAGCTTTGAATAACCAGGATGATGTGCATTAGAAAAAGGTGTGGTGTATGGAGAAGAAAATATTGCAGATAATTGACTTGTCTTTCATGCCTTGGAGGGTTCCTTTATTTTTGCATAGATATCTGAGCGACTTGGTGAAACTTTCCTGTAAACAAAAAGTACTGCAAATGCGTTTTTCAAAAGTGACCTTAGTATTATTTCACAGTTCTGAATAACTTAAAACCATGACGTTTCGATATAGTGTACACCAATACGCATACCTTTTGCATTTTACAGACACTGGCATTGTTGTAGTTACTATGCACAGTCCAAATCGGCTTCAGGGTTTGCATAAAGGGCCAACTACAGTTTGTGTTGGTAAAGTGGAAAGCTGTATAGAGTTAAACTACAACTGAAGAGTAGCGTTTGACTGAATTCAGACTACAAAACAGATCCATCTGCCAGTTTCTGTCTCTGCTTGTGTTGAATTTTTGTGTTTTGCCGTCATAAATACATCCCAAAAGCAGGCCAAGTGTATCACTTGGCCTGTTACCTTCACTATTCTGACTTACACTATTGTTTAACCAAGCATTGATTCCTACCAATAGATGCAAAATGATCACCAGTAATTGATCTAAAGCTACAAATTCAACAGGGTACTTCTTCTATAGCACAAGATGTTTCCCTACTTTTTGCATTGTAGCACAACAATTTACCAAATTGGACTCCAGCAATAATTTTCTATTAGTCTTCGTCATACCGGCTGAACTTTTGATAGTATTAGATTGAGTTTGAAGTTCTTTGAATTAAGTCTTTAAATGATGCAAGTTTACATCATTCTATCAGGCATTCTTATTTATACTTGACTGAATTGATAATGTGTTTTGAGGTTATTTTGTAACTAATTTGATGTAATAGCCATATGGACAGTAATTATTAATGCTTGCTAGGTTTAGCCTTTCATTGTTGTAGTTAAGTGAAAGTCTCTGGTTCAGTGTCAGGAAACAACATACAGTGTACCACAAGAGTTTTAAGAAAGGATTAAAGGTCCGACAAAAGGCACGTAGCTGGGCAAGTGTCACTGAAACAGCAACATCGAGGATGCATGTGGTGAAAGAAGGGAACATGAGAAAAACAACAAAATTTACAAACCAATGAGTCAGTGAAAAGGCTTTTTTAAAAATTCAGGTGACTAAATATCTAAGAGCCCCTAGAATGCCATTGCAGCTTATGGTGGTATTTTAAATAAGATTTTATTAATGTTTTATAAGTTATTTTAACAAGACAGGAAAAATTTAAAAGACTTAAAACTTGTGGGTCACAGCAGGGTGGCTTTTGGAGTTTTGGACCACTTGATAATTAGCTGAAATCCAAATATGTTACAGTGCAGGCCGTTCACGTTGACAATGGTACTAACTTATTTCTCTAGAAACCTTTAGAGTAGATATATTTTTGTCAAAGCACCCCATCCTTCCTCAATTTAAATTTCAATATTGTTCCTGGAGATATTTCTGTATATTAATGGTACCTTTTTTAAAAGAAACAGAAAATTACTTTTTTCTATATTAATTAATATCTTACTTGATCTGCTTTTCCTTGACTTTCCCTTAGAGAGGGGGTAGGGTTGGGTCAGTTTACTGGATATGACTGTTTTCAGATACTTACAAACCTTTTTGTAGATATGCTTAATTTTTAAGCGATTAGGCACTGAGAGTAGCAGAAATCCTGCAAAGCTTTATAGTTCACTAGGCATTTGCCTTTGTTGGTTCTATGAGTGACATCTTGATTTGAGTAGCTAGAATTTTCCCTGAATCTACTAGAAGGGGTATCAGTATTTTCAGGTAACAAAGTCTGTTAGCACAACAAAAACTTCAGACCAATATCTTACTGTATTGGGGTTGGGTTTTTTTCCTTGTTTGTTTTAATTTTTATTAATTTCAGCTGCTTTCATTTTGGAAAATCTTACTGCTATTGTGTGTACTTCAGTATACCAGCAAACACTGTTACCTGTTAACACATTGTCCACAAATGCCTCTAGAGAAGAAATTGTTGCACCTTATGTATATCTCAAGCAAACCAAAATATGATGCTTTTCTGCTTTGTTTATTCTGAATATGTTGTATCATACTTTACTGAACCCATTTTAACTTAGCTAAAGCTATCAATATTTATGCATTTCACATTATTTTCTGGATCTGAACCTGTGTATAAATCTTTCTTTGAAAAAAAAAAAAGACAAGCATTTACTGTAGTTGTCCTCTATGACTTATCCATGGGAGGGGGGAATCTTGTCTCAAGTGTAAAATGCAGTACTGTCCCAGTTTTTCTTGGCTTTTATTTATTTAGTCATCTTCAGTATTTCATAGTTCTGAGGCATATGAAATGCATTGTCATAGCTGAAGCTACAGATCTAAGAAGCTGGGAGAAAATTACTGTAATGTCTTCTTAATTGTTCTAGTACTGTATACAAATATGGGAAATATGTTCTGCAGAACATTTGAGATGCAGATTCTTATCCCCACAGTAGGCTATTTTCCAGGTATTAGACCAAATCAATCAAAACTTCATATCTTACAGGTCTTTTTTGACTAAATTATTCTGAAAATATTTATGGAGATTACTTAATGCTCTGCTTCTGGCAGTAAGTACCCCTTGAATGTGCTGTGATTTCAGAAAAGAATATATTTATTTAAGCTCTCTGAATGCTCTTTTATACTAATATGGTATCCCAAAGGCAGGAGCAAGAGATTTCTTGGTAGTTTGGGTTTCTATTTTATAGCATTGGTGCATGACCTTTGAAATTAAAGTAATAAGCTTTGTTGGAAAGGGGCACAAGAACAAGGGACTGGTAGAAGTGTGTGGATTTGTGGCGTTTAAATTCCAGCTTTGTATTGTTGGGGTGAAAGCTGCCTTTGTAGCACAAGGCTGAAGAGCATTCTGTAGTTTGTGTCAAGTAGAGAGTTGTAAGTCATGTCAGTACAAGGGAATGCCTTATAGTTTGGATGCTGTCTTTTGCAACAGGATTGCAGCAAAATTGAAGCAATTTTAATTTTCACTGCCTGTTTAGCTACTGTACAGATACTGAACCAACTGAAAGCAAGTTATAGACATAGGGCAGCTAAGAGCATGTAAGGAAAGCTGTCCTTTATTCTCAGTATGGCAACATTGTGGCAACAAAGGAGAATTAGAAAAGAATTTAGATGTGTATATATAGGAGTGTGGGTGTGTGTGTGTGCGTGTGTGTGTGCGTGTACCTGTGTGTGCCTGGGTGTGTACATTCTGCAAAAAAATGATGTAGGAAACCAGAAAAATGATGGGTCTACAAGACACTATAATGTATGTTGACCCTTTTGAGTGCACTCCCTTTTTTTTGAATGCTGAGTCTAATATGGCTACCTCTCCTAAAAGACTACTTTTGTTAACTTCCATTTGCTTTCAGGCATGATCATGTAATCTTTTTGGCCATTGATACCATTTGTATATCGCTGTGTGCTTCATTTTCCAAGAGCAACATTTATATAGAGCAGATACCATAAAGGCTGAATATACAGTAGTAGCCAAACTATGTTGCTGGAGCATTTTTGTTTAGCCTCTGCCACAGTCATATGGGTTGCAGGACCCACTGGCTCTGCTTGGTTCAGTAAGATCGGTTTCTGTAAGAGCAGAAGATGCGGTGCTTGAAGGGTGGTGGACTTGTGATGTTTCCAGAGCTGTCGAGTAAGCCACATGCTGCTCTTGAAACAACTTCTGGAGTTTACATTCACAGTCCTGATTTTGCAAGGAAACGTAACTGTGCAACTTGGGTGTTGTATACCCTACATTATCCATTAGATGCTGTTTGTTTGCTGTGCTTGTTTGATAGGTTGTAGAGCTCCTTTGCCATGTTTTGCAATACTCATGGCATTCTCCCTACCATGTACATATTTTGAACTGTCAACTACAGCTGCCAGGATGCCGAGGCCCTTCAGGACACTGAGTGCCATGAACAAGTACATATTTAGGCTGTGAAAGGGTTACTTGCCTCCTCCCCTGAATTCCCCAAGAAAAAGGCACAGTGAGGTTTATGATCTCACCAAAGTACTACCATAGTCACTTACATACTCAGTGTTCTGTACTGAATTGACAACTTTGAAGAGGCTTATAAGATGGATGTCTATTTCATGTTCCCCCACTAATTCTTTGATGGCAGAAATCTAGGAAGACTTGATGTGAGATCTCCACTCAGCAACATACCCAGGTTTAGCCTGGAAACCCTTCTTCCTTAAGGGGCAGCATTGTGACAGTGTGGGAGCCCCAATCACAGACCACTATGCTTTTGGATTTAAGCTTGGGCTTGCATGGTGTTCCTGGGGGAAGCATATCATCATGACCTATGGTGGTCATGGTGACATGCTTCCACCTTCACTGAGGTGGAATTTTAAAACTACTGCAAATAGCTTAACATCTATGGAGTTCTTCCAAAGAATTACATTGTAGTTTCTGAATCTTGGCTGTTTAGCATATACCAGGAGACCTGCGCTGTACTCCACTGGACAAACCACATCTATTCAGGAAAACTGACTGGGCTCCCAAATGTAATGCTCATCTGCTCTTTTCAGCTCCAAGCTGAAACCTTGTTTGCCCCTCAGTGCTGCTGTACTTCAATCAGTGGTTGGGTCTTTGAGGGCAACAACAGCAGGAGAGGCATGTACATGCATGTGTCTGCATGTGTGTGTACGTACACACACACAGTGGAGTGCAGTGGCTTCCAGCAGGTACTCTGTGCTAAAGAGCTCCTGTGTTTGTTCATTAAACAACTTTGAAGTTTTTCAGACGATACTTTTCCAATTTCCTTGCTAGATTTTGGTGTCTTTTCTTCCCATTAAACAGCATAAGATGTGAATTTCAAAAATCACATATGAAAAAGGCACAGATCCTGCTGACCTGGATGCTACAAAAACCTTCTTTCTCAGCAGTGCTTGCTTTTAATAACCAGTATCTGTTGACAGTTTCAACACAACTGATTTGCTATGATCTTTTTTCTTGGAGCCCAATCCTTCAACTTCTATTCTCACATATATTTCCACTCAATTTCGACTTAGTATATAGTTCTATTCTCTCCAGAGTTTGGGGTAAACATGCCTTACAATGGTTCATCTCCATCAATGGTATAATAGAGCTACTGCCTTCTTAGTTGTGTGTAGTTAAGTCAGTAAGCACATTTATAGAATGTCATACTTTACTGAAAAACCTCTAATTTGATACTTCTAAGTGCACATGTTAAGTCATGTGTATAACATGCTAAAGTACATCAAGCTGTGATAATGAAGCTGAATAAAAGATTTAATAAAATATTTTAAATATTTGATAAGGACCTTTAAATAGATTTCTTTATGTTCATTCTATTTTGGTTATCTAGTGTGTGCCTGTAAACAATTTCCCATTTAAAACTAATGATTGCAAATAAATACTATTCAAATGGAGCTTCTTTGATACTTCACCTGCTTTACCATCAAATAATTGTTTATTTTAACATATGGCTGAGTTAGCAGTATTTGCAGAATTTGTTCTTAGTTACAGTACAAACTTGTTGGGTTGTTTATATTTAAACAAGCTCATTTTCACCACAAAAAGGAAGATGCCAAAACCCAGAGATGGATCCTCAGAGCTGTATGCTGTAGTTTTCTGTCAGATCATCCACTCACCTTCTACACAATGACTGTGAAGATGTCATTTACTTTGCAAAGAACTTCTGCCCAATTGTTCTTCCTTACATGTGTCTGTACTGGGAGCTTCCATTTTATTATTTAAAACTTCTGAGCCTGGCTCAGCACTGTTGACATTGCTTAGAAGCTCCACAGATCCAGTCAGGTGCCCTGGAATTCTGTGAACTTACATTGCATGAAGCTGGAGATTGTGGGATGGAGAGAGCCAGGACTCGGTGCAGTTAGACTTTTGAAGAAAAAGTTGGTTTTCTTCTGAGCTTCCTAGATATCCACTTCATTTTTGTGGATTTTGTTTCCTTGCACAGTTGGGAAGCTTGTCGATAGTCAACAGTGATAAAAGAGAAGTTGTCCCACAGAAGAAGTCCTTGCTATGATTTCAGTCTTTGGACATAAGAGAACTTAGTAATGGTTTATCTTTTAGAAATAAGTAGCAAGTGACATCAAGTGACATCAATGCCTAAACATAAAGGTAGTGGGTTCCCACTACTTTGGAAACTTGTTTGAACCAGGAATCTGCTCTGCCCATATACTTTATAGTCTTGAGGCTTGAAAATTAGACTGTTTGAGATCTTCTCTTTTTCTGTCCTTGGATGCCTGAAACCTCCTTGATTGCCATGTATTTTTTGATCACAGAAGACCCTAGAACAGATTTCATGAAGCCAATAGACACTGGCTGTTCAGATGGGAGTAGATCTGTCTCTGAGTCAAAAGCAGCAGAAGGGAAACATTTAGGGTTTTTTTTATCTATGTGCTATTTACTCAGGAAAGAAGAAACGTATGCAATTTTGCACTGCCTTTACTGGGTATGCGTCAGTATCTCTGCAAAGAAACACCAGGAATGGAAGACCTTCAGCATTAAAGGCCATGTAAAGGTCATGGGAAAGGGGAAGGAAAGTTCTGAATCAGTGAGAAAAAAAAAGTGGAAGAAATTTTAAGAAATATATGTTCTGTCAGTATCTGATGCCCTGTCAGGGACCTTGAAATCGCTATTCATTTTTTTTTATTACTAAATTACCTTAAAACAGTTGTCTTCATTCCTTGAAGTCCCATCTTTTCTCCTCTGTTTTCATTTGGTTCTTCCAACTAAAAACCTGCTGAATTCAGCTAATTCTCAGTGCATCTAGATCTGGTTTGTTACCCAGCTCTCTCACTCAGGTTGTTTTTTCCAACTGCATGGCATTTCCACTGACTCTTAACTGTCAGGTAAGGTAAATTTCCATTAATACTTCTGGAAAAACACAGGATGAAAAGGCATCATCCAACTCAAGCACCATGCTTTGCTAGACACTGCTCTTCTCCCCTCGATACCATTGTTGGGTCCCTTTCATTGTTCATTCTGGAGTTTTTGGATGTACAGCTAACCCTGCTTTCAGAGAGACTTTTTTTTCCTACAGTGTGACAACATGGAGTGAGACACAGTATACCTGGGCATACAGTAGCCATGCTATACACCAGCTCATGTGGCTGTCAGTTCTCCAGTAGGACACTAGCACTTTGTGACAAAATATGAGATGCGTTCCTATCTCTGCTGCAAAGTTCTGTTTTGTTTTGTTTTCTGAAATAAAACCTGTAAGATACAACATCTACCTTCTATCCAGTGTCAAATTCTTTTTTTTTTTCTTTTTTTTTCTTTTTTTTTTTTTTTGTGGACTGTTCTTGGCACAGCAACAGTAAGAAATTGAGCTGTAATAGAGTTGTATTTAAAATATACTTGAAATTTCATCAAGGCTTTATTGATTGTTTTCTGATTGAAGAATTATTAGATGTTCAGCAGAAGTGCACTGGCCCACAGTGTCATTGCTGCAAGCCTAGCTGAAATTCCATTTGAACATCCAAAACAAAATACAAAACATGTATTCCATATAGAGCAGCACTTTAGCTTATTTGTCATCCTGTGAAACAAGAGGAACTAATTGAAATATACCCAAAAGTCAAGCTGGTTGAGTCAGAATGACATGCTTAGCATTGCAGCACACTAAGAGAAGGCAGGTTGCTATCAAACAACATCCAATTTAAGAAAACAAAAAGGGTGGGAAAGAGAAAACCTGAGGTCCTGGGAGGTATCCTTCCAATCCAAAAGAAGTTTTTGGAGTACATCTTTAGAGTACAAGTTTCATATACGGCCCACCAAAGGCTTCCCAGTTACAGCAGACCATCAGGCTTCAGTCAGACCAGTCTGAGCATCAATTTCCTTCCTTCCTATTAAGGGTGGGTTCCCTTAATACCTGGTCAGCACAACTGGGTTATTAAAACACTCTGCTGTTTTTAGGAGTTTTAGGAGAATTTTTAGGAGAATTTGGAAATCAGATAGTGCCAATCTGTCAGTAGTTTAGGCTACATAGTTTTGGTTTTGATGTCCAATAATGGCTTTTGTAATGGCTTTGGAGTTTGTGTATTTTCAGTCTTGCAAAACCAGTGTCATTGATTCAGGCAGCCTGCAGCTTGCCATTGGCATCAGTCAGAATGATGTCATTTGAAGCAAATTCGCTGCACATCTCTCTCTTGAGAGACGATTCCCTGTTACATTCGTGATTCATCTGGTTTGGGACTCCCAGCTGTGGCGTTTCTCATGAAGGTGGGCTCTGGCAGGGGGAGGTTCTTTTGCTACAAGCCTGTCCAGGATGGCAAAAATCTTGTCAATGCCTCCATAACTTTGTGTGGGCTCTGTGCTTGCCTGCAGCTGCTGAGATAGATTTTTGTAATACAAAGTGAAACAAACCCAGCTGGGAACTCGATGGTGAAGTTGGACCTTCATGAGTTTCCAGGTTTGAGTAGGCGGTACAGAGATTGACAGGTTGTGGCAACAAGGCTGTGTTTGCTTTTGTTTTGAAGAGCAGAGTTTTCTAGCAGAACTAAGGTGTCAGGGAAGTTACCATCACAGCAGATGGACAATTCATTGTCTTCAAGAGGTTCCAATTTCAAGAGCAAGATTTGCCAAGTTGTCTAAAAAAAAAGCAGAAATTACAGTTTAAGTCTATTTCTTGGAATGGATGCTGTGTTTTGCTTGAGTGACTGTAGCAGTAACTTTTCATTACTCCAGTTAGAAGTAATATGTGAGCTGCTTAAGGGGTGATGCAATTTGAAACCATCCCATTACTCCCAGATGACTGATGTATTTGGCACGTGGTGTAAGTGTCACTAATGAGTGCTTCCCTGCAAGTACATCATAAATAATATCAAGTGCTCATCCTTATTTGAATCAGTAATTAAGAAAATTCTTCTTGCTGTCCTAAGGAAATACACCTTGCTTGGCTGGCACAAGGCATAGTTGTACATTGGAAAGTAATGGAGGGAAGCATTTGCTGTGTGACTGTTTGATCTTGATAAATAATTTTTTTTCCAAACATCTTTGCTAGTAATTGTCTGTAGTGCACCAGATTTAGGACATAGTTAATTGAACTCTGGGATCTTTCAAAGTGAAGGTAACTACATATTTCTCATGCAGAAATCCATGCCAGCAAGGAAGTCACTTAGGGATGAAGGGTTGCATTTTTGAAATAACTAATTTATGTGGATTTTACTCATGGTATGTTTCATGGGTGAGAACCTTGAAAACAGCATAATACACAAGAGTCAGTATAAGAGCATTAGTTTCATATTCCTAGATTCTGTTAATCTACAACTAATTTAAAGAACCTACACCAAAAAATAGATATTTCCTGTTCCACCTTGACATGGTGGTTGTTTAGTTAAAGGCCAAGGGTTGCCAGCAGGGATTTAAAAGCATCTTTAATGATGAGATAAAAATGTATTCTTAAATAGAAATTTCTGAGCTTTTCGACTACTCAGAAAATACTCAGTGTGCTTTGCAAGAAGAGCAATTTTTTAGTACTTTTGATAAATAAAACCACAAATATAGCTATTTCAACAATCTTAAGATAAATAGAAAGTGGCAAATGGAATTTTTTAGATGCTGTGAGTTGCCTTGGACATAGATGGGAGTCCCTCAGCAGTGCTGGCTTGTCACACCTGACAGTCCTTGTGGGAGGATGTGGTGGTGTGCCTGGAATGTGCATTTGTATCCAGCAGTAAACACCATCCCACTAATCTCAGCCGCTGGAAATCCGTTTCCATCAAGATACCAGGGATATGAACAGCATAAAAGCTGTTTAAAAAGAACTGGTCGGGTTTTTTGTCCCACTGAAAATGTTGTATATTTGGTAGAGAGAGATCTCTTCCTTGGATGGTTTTCTTTATGTTGTTGCAGGAAGTTGAGAACACCAAGCTTCACTTGCAAATCTTTCACCTTGCTTTTCAATTATCTTGCCTTTTTCACCTCTCTTTTTTTGAGAGGCTGAACGCTTGGTAGACATCAGTAGCAAAACATACCACAGATTTTCAGTGGGATGGACAGTATCCCACACCTCCCCAAGCATAACTCAGAAAAACCTGCAGTGGTTTTTTAATTTTAACAACAGTTTTCCTGAGCTCTGGCTGTGCACCAAACACAGCTTCTGCAAAAAGATGGGCAGAGGGGGTGGGATCCTGCTGGGAAGTGGATAGAGCAGCAGAGCTGGACTCCCCAGGCCTTTCTTGTGCCCCAGGTCTCTGTGGGAAAGCCCACCAGTGCCAGAGCCAGGTACCCAGCAGGTTTTTGAAACCTGATAAATTATTTCCTCCTCCTAGCAGTTTATTGTGAGAGTACATTCACAGTTTATGGGAATTTGGCCTGGTTCATTTTTTAATGCATGGCTTAAGTTCACTTTTTTTTTTAAAGCCAAACCAAACCCCCTTCAGTAGTGCATATTAGACCTAAAAGAACTCATGCTAAGCCTTAACTTGCAAAATGAAACTCAACACATTTCTAAATTTCTTTATTACAGGAGGAAAAGGCAGCCCCCAGACAATTACACTTTTTTCTCCATAATTACAGAAGAAATCTTCAAATAAACCTAATATTTGTTTTTCCAGGTACTTTGCTCATGCAGCCTCGCCTAAGGCAGCAGGCACACGTGGGGGCAGCCTGTGGAATCAGGCATGCAGCATTATGGCTTTCTCTCCAGTGGAGGCACCCTGGCCATCAGAAAGCTGTGCAGCAGCCCCACTGCATCCAAAGGGATGGGATAAGGGATGCCAGCTGCTGCAGACCACTGCAGTTTGAGTCGCACCTGTGGGGTTCATGTAGCCAAGGGCTCTTGCCCTGCATGTCTTGTCAGTTTGTAAAATGTTATTTTGATTTCTGTGCCTTTGACCTGCTTGTGTTTGAAAGCTGTTCTAGGCACTTTGCATGGCAGAGGTTGTGTTGGCAGAGATTGGCAGTGGAAGCACCAGATACTTGCTGTTGTAAACGTCATCCTTCTCCTTGAAATACTGTTGTGATGGTGGCTGTCTCAAGGCTCTGTGCAATGGCGTAATTGCTTTTGTAAAGACATTTTTTATCCTCCTGTTATTGTTACTGAGCACTGCTTTCATCAAGAAACGTGAATTGGGGAAGGATGCCACAGACTTTGACAATTAAATCTGTCCCTAGATGGTCTTTTTTCACCCATGTGAAATTTATACATAGGGGTGGGAGGATTAACTCAGGGTGCAGACAAGCCTGTAAGGAAAGACCAGCACCTCCATAAATCAAATTCTGCATTTTGTGCTTGTGTTTTTAAGTCACTAAAGTAATTGCTTACTGCAGAAATGATGAACAGATGGATTCCCACTGCCATCCGTAGGTGAGCATGGCAGACCAGTGTGGCTGCTGCTGTTTGTTCGCTTCCTTTCCCTCCTTGTGGGTGGACTGCTGTTACATTGCTGCATTGACTGTGCCCCAAAAGCCAGCTGAGAGGAGCTGGGGTGGAAGGTCAGCTTTGGGCAATCACGTTACGTGAAAGGCAGCATTGCACATCATCACCACAGTAGGGTTGGTGTTTCCCATAGGTCTTTCATCTTGATGTTCGTGAGCACCTGTTTTAAAATGCCCAGGCTCCTAGCTTGACTTTTTTTAATTTTCTTACTTTTTTTTTCAAGACAGAGTTATGTTTCATGTAAACCACATAATTATTTGGGCTACTTGTAGCAGATTTTAGAAACCAGATGCTCCTTGAGTGCCCAACCCATGCAATCCATGGGCAAGAGCCAGTGAAGGGTATTTAAAAGAGGCAGTGGTTCTTGTCAGTGTGGGGTTTTCTTGTTCATTATCAACTTGTCTCAAGATAGGTCAACACTTTTAAAGATGGAAAAAGGCTGAAGGAGGGCTTTCTGTGACAGCTTTTGAATGTCAGGGTGGAGATTTCTCTATATTCTTCTTCGTTTGCTGCTCCCCATTTCCTTCTTTTTTCAGGGTGATTATAGAATTAGACAGGGTTTTGGTGGTGAGTGAGGAAAGTGTAAGCTGACTCTTAATAGGATGTCTGAAGTGCTTGTGTGTGTTCCTGGACTAACAGCAAGCTAAGGCAGAAAACCAAACAGCCAGACAGGATGTTAAACACATCCTGGGTTGTAGCAGGATGAGATCTTCGCATTATTTACTTGGTGCAGAGTCACAGGGCCAAAAGGGACTTGGAGACATCAGCTAGACATTTTCCAAGGCAGATTAAGCTATACTTAGCACAGACCTGATGGTGATGGGTGAGTGTTGAACTTGTCCTTGAAAGCCTCTAATAGTGGAGAATCAGCAATTTCCCATGCTGTTTTTTCCAGTGTTTGACTGTCTTTTTGATGGTGGTTTATTCCCCCAGTGCCTAAGTACAAAATTTTAGGGTATAGGAGAAAAAGACAGTGCCCTCAAATGACATTAGATTGAGGAGCATTTTAGCTGTTTTTATAAATGCAACCTAAAAAATAATGGTCAGATAAAATCTGAGACAAGATTTTCAAGGAGCACCAGCCCAAATTTGCTCACTACAGGACTCCTTCATGCCTTTAAAAACCTCTTTCTTCAAATGGTGTGTCAGGTTGATGGTTAATAGCCATATCAGAAAGGTTCAGAGACCTTTCTCCTCATGCTGTGTTTTCTATCCAGTAGTTGCCTTCAATTTTTTTTTACAGAATTCAGACGGTGAAAAAACAGAAAGCCAAACCAAAAAATCCCCAGCCCCAAACCAACCGAGCTTGCCATCCTTTTTCCTTGCTACTCTTTTCAGATACTACAAGGCCATCAGTAAAGCCATATTACAAGGAGGAAACCAAAGGAGAGTATAATCCATTTATTTAGGCAGTGCTTGTGCCAGCCGCAGCAAAAAGCTGGAGAGCCAGCAGGGGCCAGAGCTGGCCTTGGCCTACAGCTGTCCCACCCCTGCTGCCTCCTGCCTTGGAAACAGCCTTTTCCTAGCTGTCCTCTGGTGAGATGCTGCTGGCAAGGCATCACCTGTGCTTGCAGCAAGCTCCCTGCCTGGGCTCTGGTGCAGCCTCTCCCTGAAGATGTGGGAAAAGCTGCGTGCAGTGGCGTTGGCAGTGCAGGGACCAGGACATGCCTGGGTCTCTGCTTCAAACAGGGAGACCCATGCTGTGCCTGCAGTACTCTCTCCAGCTCCAAACTAGGACTAGTGGAATAATTTTGAAACCGTTTGGAGACTAATGGAGCAGGGCCAGTGTGTTACAAGAGCTGTGCACTCCCCTGTTACCTCTGCAGCAGTTTAGCTGGGGCAATGACACAGTTTATTGAGGAGTCTCTGGGTGACAGTCCCTGCTGAGAGCCCATCACTGGAAATAGGCACCCAGTGGGGAAGCAAAGGGTAGAGCACGTCCCTCAAGCTGGGCAGTTGCCTTCCTTTCCTGCCTGTTGTGGTTCATCAGGAGGCTCAGCCTGGACTCTGGTCACTGTGCCTGGTGCCAGGGCTTTGACGTGTTCACCAGAAGTTGCAGGCTTGCAAGAAATGGGTTGGCAAATCTCTGACACTCTCCTGGTCCAGGCACCAGGCAGAGATCACCCAGCCATGCTGGCATGTGCTGGGACCCACAGCCCTGCTCTTCTGCGTGGCCACACGAAGCTCCAGGGGGAGAAGGCAATGGCCAAGCCCCTGGTCCCCATGGCACTGGTGCCTCCTGCAGTGCACAGCAGCAGCCCTTTGTAGCCCCACAGTGCTGTGGTCAGGGCCAGCACGCTGCCCAGGGCTGCCAGGGCTGGAGCTGCAGCCCTGCACAGCCACGGCCCATGGCCCCAGGCAGTGCAGAGGGACCCTGCTGCCAGAGACATTCATTGCCTGCTGTGGTGCCCCAAGGTCCCACTGAGCTGCTCCAGGTGGTGGCACAGGGCTGGGCACTGACAGCCAGGGAGCCACAGCAAAGCAGCACAGGGATTGTGTGCTGTGCTGAAGAGCTGAAACAACCACTGGCAGGACACAAAGCTGAGGCTTCCTATGGATGTTTGCTCCAGGTGACATCTGGCCCCAGTTATGGGCATGGCTATGGCAAGGAGCTTGGGTGGATGGGGCACCCAGGTCTGTTCAGTTCCAGGATGAGCCTTGGATGAAATCCCTGTACTGACCAAAGACTGACTTTGAAGGGCAGTATCTCCACAGGCAACCTCCTGCAGAAGTTGGCATTCTCCAAGCACTGAGAGAGAAAATATTTAATGGTTTAAAAAGGAATAGGGGGCAATGGAGCAGTTTAGAAAATGCAATTTCTTCAACAAGTTTGTGATTGAAAGAACTGGCACTATAAAAGGGGAAGCCAAACCTGTGGGAGGGATGAAATTAATTTTCCCCAAGCCCAATAATCACCCTGGCTTAGAGCTAGGAGTTTTTGCTCCTGTGAAATATGGTGCATGCCCATCAGGCTGTACTTCAGTTGCAAATTAACCACTACGTTCAGTAGTCCTTGCTTTCACCATTAATGTAGTCTTTAGTGATGCCTGGGGAAGGAAAAGTGTTTTCCTCCATGTTTCACAGTTTTTTTCCTGCTCCCATAGACTCTCAATCCTTTGTGCTCCCCTTGATTTGCTCAGCCCTGGGAACCCTACCTGGAATAAGCAAAAACAAGTTACAGTGGAGACAAAAGTGACAAAAAAATGTTGCACTTTACAGCAGATCTACCAGAGTCAACTAGGGTATGATTTCCAAATTATACTCTGTTACTCAGTAGTCAAAAAACACAAGACCAACCAGTACAGATGAATATTCACCTGATTTTACAGTGTAATTGCTTCTCACTTAAAATTTGTCCTTTTTTTCCCCTTTCTCCCAGCATAGCAACATGCTTCCTATTTTCCCTGCTCCTGAGTATCAGCATGTGCTTTGAGTCCTGTAGAGCTGGAGAGGAATTACTAACAGAACTGAAAAATAACTGATCCTTTTACCCTTGCATGCACAAAATTCTTAGCAAAATACAAAAAAAAAAGGCATTTCTCTTGTGTTGTGCTTGCACAGTGTCAATGGCAAAGCAAAGTCTAAGGGCATAAATAAGGTGAAGTGATGCTCTGTGGTGATGCAGAGACTGAAGTGACTGAGTTTTAAACAGTGTCCCTACACATTGTCCCTCCTGATATGGGCATAAAGCTCAGCTTCCAGCTTTTGTGTGCACCCCTCTCCTTGTGGTACTTCCTTGCCTGCTCCCAGTGGGTACCTGGATGAGACAAAGGAGAATACCTGCTGCTTGGATAGCTAAGATTTCTTCTGAGCTCGCTTGAAATCCCAGTCAGGAACTTTCTGTCTTCACTGTTTTGTAATCAAAGATGCAGAGGGCACAATTCAGTGAGGATGCATTTGCTGGGCTGAGTGCTCATGCTATGTGTGCTCTGGGGTACAGACCATCCTTCCTTCCCTCACACTGCAAAACATCCTGCTCCATCAGGGCATCCTTCTTTCAAATACATATTTTTAAGCTCCCCTCTCAAAATGTCAGAATTATTAGGGGAAACTATTTGTTTATTGCCACACTTTCTTTGATATATCTCTTGTGCTGTATCAAAGATGGCTTCTGTTGAGTGTGTGCTTTTGTTCACATGTTGGAGCTTGCTCTGGAGTTGTTTCTGCCTGGCTGGGGGGCCCAGGGAACAGAGGGGTCACTTGTGCAGGTGGGACTATGCTGAGTCACACGGGCAGGGTCCTGGTTTGGCAGGAAATGCAGCAGGCAGTGGGGGAGACCCTCAGCCCTGGTGTGGTACCTGAGGCAGAACAGCTGAGCGTCGGGCTGTGGTCACTGATTTGGGAAGAGGCTTCTAGAAACCCTCAGGCAGGGAGTGTGTTAAGTGACATCTGTGTCATGAACAAGAGTGATGTGGCATCTCGTGTGAGCAGTGAGGGTTGGGCTGAGAGCAAAGGGGCCTCACCTCCCCATCCCTGTTTTTAGGAGCGAATCCATTGGAAGGGGCACTGTCTGTCTGCATGTGCGTGCTCCCACTTTGCCTTTGCGAGTGTACCCCAAGACACAAACAGACAGGGAGCAGATTGGAAAAGGGTGGCACAAAAGGCACTCTATGCCTTACTGGGCCTTTATGGTGCTCCCTGCAAATGTCTCTCCCTTCCTCCTCCCCTGCTGGCAGTTTGGGCTCGGCTCTTGGGCAGCAGCAGCAGCACACAGTGCTCTGCTCCCTGCCTGCTGTGGGGAGCACGAGGCTCACGTGGCCCAGTTGGAGATTTGACCAAATCGTGTTAAAAGTATTTCCTCAAATAGTCAGTTTTAATTTTAATAAGTCATATTTAGCCTTAAGGGCATTGGCTGTGTGAAAGGGAAAGGGTTATGTCCTGGAAGCAAAGTTGGATGAATGAGTGCCTGTGAAGGGCTGCTGAGAGCTTGGTGTGGGCTGAGAGGCATCACATCTTCCTCAAGAGAGAGGAGCCCTTGCCATGTGGTTGAAAAGCATGGTGGGATTGACAGGGGAAGCACTTTGACTGAGAAATGTTCTTTTAGATTAAACAACAAATTTCTGCATGCACATACAGACTAGATCTTCGTAACGCGGCAGGCTTTGACAGTGTACTGCAGCATTATTGCTATTTATAATCGACAATTACTAACACTATAATCCAGTAAATTTAGTGGTAGCAATTACAGCAACATAAATAGCAATCCAGATGACTAAAGGCATTGCTGTCAATGCAGGTGGCAGCTATAACATTAGGCAAAGAAGTTGGAGGGAAGATATCAGGACTCAATGTGTGAGCTTGGGTCTGCTAGTCTTTTATATACCATTTTTAATATACTTCCTGAAATGAAGCTTCAGAAAGGTACACTGCCTCTTTAAAATTAGTCTAGGAACTACAGGTAGTTCACATTATTTTTAAAATAATAAATCTCTATATATATATCTATATTAAAATATATATGTATACATAAGTTTGCTAGCCTACCTTGTGGAAAGGCTGCAGCTAAACTAAGTCTGAGCTAATATTGTATTACCATGGTCCTCTGGTTTGTAGATAGCCCTTCCTTATTAGATGAGGTTCTGTTCTTGCTCCACAGAAGGTGCCTGTGTATATAACTCCTTTGTATTGCTTTCTGCAGAGTCCCTTATATATTTCTTACTACTAATGCTGTGTCGAAAAGGAAATCCAGAGATTTTACTACTGATAATTAACCATTAATGGCCATTAGCAAAATAAAGATTTAGTTGTTTGAGAAACAGATTATTTATATTGTGTATGGTTTATTGCCTGATAACTTGTTTGGTGACTGGATATTCTTTTCCTTCTCCTGGTCCTTTTCTGCTTTTTCCAGCTATGGTGTTTACTCCTCACTTTGATTATCTAGCAGGCAATAAAGTATATTGTATGTTTTGAAGCCAAGTGGTGAGCTCCTTACTCGCGCACCGCAGGGAGCCGGGGCTGCGGGCACGGCTGGCACCGC